GATGCAGGTGCTGATGATGCCCGATACCGAAGAGAAGGAGGCTCTGGAGACGGATACACCGATTTCAAGTCCTCATCGATCAGCGCAACCGAAGAGACGAAAAGTTTCAAGTGATGATGATGAATCGTTGAAGAAAAAGGCAACGGAGATAGATGATGAGGATGAAGGAAATATCGTGCCAGTGGCGAACCCAAGGAGACCGAGAGTTAGAGCGGGCTTTATTATGGATAGTAGTGATGATGAATGATTGGGTTAGGTTACATGGATTGTTTTGTGGATTACTGGATACCATCGGCGTTGTGATTTGGGTATTGCATTATTGGGCATTATGATATGAGTGTAGATAGGTACTTTTGGTTATGAAGAGTTTTGTAATGAATGCATATGGTCTATTCTTTTAAAAGGGAGTCGAGCTGAATATGAAAATGGTATATTTGGAATAGTGCGCTTGTCCAAACTGAGAAAGATGCTAGGTAGAGCATCCTCAGGATTTTGCTTGAACATGTTTTAACGCAACCGTGACATCAGTAAATCATCAGTTCATCCCTTCAAAATAAATCATCGGGGGAAGTTTCATTCTGAATTATATTCCCATTATGCAGCTGACAACTACCCACTCCCCCTCTCCTCCAAAAGAAAATGGAAATACATCAATACGCACCGCAACTTTCCCATCTTGTCATCTGATCTCTCTCTAAAGCCAGTCAAGGTTGTGAAGCGCGAGAGCTTTGTGTAGATTCGGACTTTCTTCATCAAATGATATCTTGTTTGTGAGAGAGTGGCTCTCAGATGTTTTTATTCAATATGTTGCTAACCTTAGCTACTACTTCATCTGTATGCCGCGTGAAAATAAAGGTCAGACATATAGATGTAAAGTCAATATACAATTGCCTTGTTTGGATCAAGATGGAGAAGTTTATCTCAATCCCCTACGCACCAGTTATTCATCACCGTGGCGTGTGCTGTGGCGAGAATATGAAATCTCGATATTGCTTGAACAAATATCGCCTGTTCTTACTTGGATCGTCATCATCTGCCCCTCCTCTTTGCTTTTTCCCTACATACAATTTTCCACATATAAGACGAAATCTTGCGAATACCTTCATCAATCTCGGAAAACTAATGATGCTTAGATAAGGTAGATACGAGAGAGAAAAAGAAACAATGGCATGACGTCGCCATTATCTAGGCTAGAGACTAAATTGATACAGAACGATAAGATAGATATCCTCCCCACAAGTAAAAAGGAATAGAAATTTATTTCAAGGATCAAAAAGTAGCGATAAAAATCTCGAAACTTGGAGATTATAATGTTGATAATGTATGTATACGAGCCGAATTTGGAGAAGAAACACGAATGCGAAACTATTCGAGTAGAGTTTGCGAGATAAAACTTCTCAGCAGACGATGCTGGTTCATTTGAGGCATAGTTTGTTTTGCGGGGGAGAGAAAATTATCGTTTGTCTCAAAGTGGGTATGGAAGTAACCTTTAGTTAGGTATCAAAGCGCTGAAATCTTATAACGGTTTATTAAAGAGTGAGGAATTAGTCTGAGGTGATATGAGTAACGAAAAGTCGAGGCTTTTTTGGGGGGGTTGAAAATGGCCAGAACTATTAGTAATTCTAGACACCAAATCTTCAAATGCAACATAATATAGTGATTAACAGCATGCTAATCTCTCTCTTCTTTTGACAGCAATCCAATCCCCACATGTTCATGTAAGATTACTACTGCACAGACCGTTACAATATACGTTTGATGTTTTAGATTTTGTATCGCTAAACTATCAAGTAGACAGCCGAGAAACGCGGATCCTTTAACGTTTTATTGGGGCTGTGCGGTAAAATATTGTCCGTGACGTAAAATTTTAGATGTTGCGTCATTTGCTAGGCGCTTTTGATGTAAGGTACCTACTCAAAAATTCATTTATCGGTAAGCTAATCACAATACATGGGGTTTCTAGCCTAGTTGGTTTTGCTTTTGGGAGTTAATTGATTACCCCTTGTGTTGTCCGGGATTTCCACAAATCATAGGAAATAATTAAGGATGAAGATCAAAAGTAGAAAAGCTTGCGAAAAGCCCCCCTTCATTTACTTTCTGCGAGACGACGTCTGATGAGAAGGATGTTTTAGATTTCATTTAAGCCCTATGCATTAGATCCTTAGGGTTGCATTATCTTCATTAGCTTGGTTGCTTCTTTTCCTTGATACAACAGCACGGGCCATCTATTGTCTCTCGTCTGCCATTTCATGAGTCTAGAGTCAAACACTTTCCATAATCAAGGTTAGCACCATAAATCCAATTGAAGGTAAGGGAAAACACCCGTTGCCGGTACAACTTGTAACGAATAAGATTATAAAAGATCGTCCCAATGTCACAATCCGTGTCTTAGCCCAACATTTTGAAAATCCCCGGCACTCCATCGACCCCAGTTTCTCTTATCCGGGGAATGTTCCGATGCAACACTCCGCGCTTTTTTTTCGTTTGCTGATACTAAAAGGAGAAGGTGGTCTGGGCGTTGTGATATCTCTCATAATCAAAAACATCAAGATGCATCCACATACCAAGGTCATCATCAAGACATTCTCAACATATCGTGCTAGAAGTTGATGGTAATCGCCGTTTGATTCCATCAAAAAAAAAAAAAAAAAGAATTTTGGACATCCGTGCTCATGGTCCGTGGTTTGAGCACTAGGAAAATTCATTGGCCCGCTCGACATGTGGACTCGGGGTTTGCCATCAGGTTAATCTGAAAACTACCAATGTTATCGAGCATTAATCGATAAAAGCCCGAGAGTTCGGGACGCAACATGAGGTCTAGCAATACATCTAGTGGCTTGCAGTGTCTGAGCAACATTTGTCCTAGACTGCAGCTTGCGGCAGAACCTCAGACCCTTCAAAGTTATATCATATGAAAGCTACCGTTCTACTCTCAAAATTTTTCACAAGTCTAACTCAAGACGCTCGATCTGAAGTTCTGGTATTGTTGGCTCATCTTCTGATCGTTTCTTTGTAATTATATACATCATTTCCTGTCCTTCGATGTTGCCTTCTTAATGCCGTCTACGTTTCGAGATGCAGCTTCCATCTCCTGAGATTATTGCCACTTGGCCAGTACCAAACTATGTCGACCCAAAAATGCGTGGAAATGGAGTTCTAGTCGTCAATGCGATATTATTTCCTTTGGCTCTATTCATAATACTCATTCGGCTCTACACACGACTTCGGATATCGAAAAGTTTTGGATTAGATGACTGGCTCATTATTGCAGCGATGCTCCCTTCGACAGCATTTGCTGTCCTTGCGGTTCTTGCAGAGGAAGTATTCAAGTTCAATCGACATGTATGGGATGTCCCATTGTCTCAAGTCAAATTTGGGCTGCAATATGTCCTGATTACACAAGTCATTTTTACACTTGGACAAACCTTGACAAAGTGTTCTATGCTCGCATTGTTATATAGAATTTTGTCAAAAGGGAAACGGTTCAAGATCATCACTATCGCAGCTACGGTCATAATTGCTGTCCAAGGAACAATTTTCATCATCGTTGTTATTTTCCAATGTCGGTTAGTCAACTAATATGTGTATATTGTTCTTCAACATGCTTATTGATTAAACAGACCAGTCTCTCATTATTGGCTTATAACATTCGCTCCTCAACCGGAATGCATCAATCAAAAAGTTCATGTCACGTTTGCTGGATGCTTCAACACTTTAACTGATTTTTTTGTGGTTATATTTCCTATCCCGAAAATGCTTAAATTACAGATTTCTCGACGACAACGCCTCATCGTCATATTTCTTTTTGCCGCAGGATTTCTTGTTTGTATAGCTGGAACCGTGAGAACTTATTACACCTATGTAGAATTGACTTCTACGGATGTAACGTGGGATGATTATTATGTCTGGATCAGTAGTTCTGTTGAACTTTATGTTGGCATAGTATGCACCTCCCTCTTCTTCTATCCCCTTTTGCACCACCCTGTGCCATGTATTGGAGATATCAGCTACAGTACTAACACATTCCAGATCGGTGCCTCTGTGCCCGCCATTAAACCATTCTTCAAACGCTACATACCCTTCCTCCTTGGACAAACTTCCAATTCCAGCCACAACAATCATTATATCATCTCCTCTTCTGACAAAGGACCATTCTCAGGATCCAACACCAACAGCACAACCCGAACCTCGCGCATATCACGAACATTTTCCCAAGTCGACATTGAGATGGGACATACCCAAGACCGAGAATTGAGAACAAATAGACATTCGATAAATCTAGATGCCATTGAAGAGGTACGCGGAAGCGATACCAGTCTTTCAAGTTTTGTACATACGGGACTAAAGAGCAACAGCGAAAGAAAGAGTAATGAATACAAGGGCGCCGATATTGTGGCGAATCGTGACATAGGGTCAAGAAGCGAGGAGACATTTGATTATCCGAGAACTTTTACGAGAAGTTCTACGAGGAATTCTAGGGATGTTCTAATTGATGGGTTGGATATGGGTATGGTAGTGCCTCCTCAAACTTATCTTTCGCGGTCTTCTCGATGACTATTAGCCTAGATGGCGTGGTTAAAGGGCTTGGGATATATTTTTATACATACAGGTTTCTGGGTTAGTTGGGGAGTTTACAGGTCTTCATCGGGACTTGGGAGTTGTGTATTTCTTGAGGTTAGTAAGGGTAGGCGTTGAAGAAGCGTTCTGGAAATGCACATATAAGATTCTATGATATGATATATGAAGTCGAGCTCGAGCTCGAGCTTGAGCTTGAGTAAGGTGTTTAGGCGTTGATATGTTAATAAATTAATTATAAAATTTTAAACTAAGATAGGTAATTACATGTTATTATTAAAGCAAAGTGGACTAGAGTATTATATTTTAATTAATTAAAAAGATTTTATTCTTCTCTAGGTAGGTGTGGGATGAATGGATAATAAATGACTTTGTTAAAGTGAATGGTTCCTGCGTAGCACGTGCACAGGGCACTAGTCCTATTAGGACTAGATTGAGAAGCTCTCTTACAGAGAGCTTCGCACTTCCGTAGAACTTAGAAGAGAGATTTACCTACTAGACCAATATTACCTCAGTTCTGCCCTATCAGCTTCCCACTATTCCCTGTGTGAGGTCATTCCTTTTAACAGACTTTATGGTTTTAATTGAACGAGTTAGACTTACTTTGGTGATCTTCTGGTAGAATTCTAAATGTAATAGATACTCGTATAGCTAGTAAGTATATGACTCCTTCAACAATATTATTTTTGATTAAAAAAGTATAATATTGTAAATTAAATTGTGTATGTAGATGGATATAAATGAGTATTCTGTTTACATTTTCTTAGTATTTTCTAAGAATTCTTAAAAATAAAATAGAGCATAAAGAGAGTTGTAAATTTCATTAGCCAAATTAAAGTTTTTCCCCGCAAATTCAGGCCTGTTTAGGAAGAAGTCATATACTTTCTAGCAGCACGAGTAAACAGACTATAGGACGTCAGATTTCAGTAATGATAAGGCGCTGACCATAGCGTACTCAGCGTGGCCCGTGCGTTTAGTTGGCAGGTCGATTGTTTTAAACTTTAATAATTATTTATTTACATCAATGAAAACCAACTTTATTCTTTCCCCGATAAAAGGCTACGAGTAAAAGTCCAATTCCTTTCAAGGGCCGTTCTACTCTTTCTACATAAAGAAAATCCAGTCAATCCTTCAATTCTAAACAAAAGGCTTGCTACATCTTTCAAGTCTGGTTGACTTCTGCCGGGTTGCCTCAAATACAATCGATACACCAATGCAATTAGTAGTTATTGATTTCGGTAATATTCTCCAGAACTTCTGTTGTAGGCGTTTCCATTTATGTGCTTTTAAGATGTCCCCAGTCTTTGAAATAACATTGAAAATTCATCTCCATAGTGGTATAGCCGCATATAAATAACTGCTCTATGGGTACCATTCATTCCCATCGTGGAGAGTCTGACGATCCCATCGTTGACAACCACTACATGCCCAAAGCCAATCGTTCCAATCCACACAAGCGTGTATTTTCAGAACAGCATTCTGTTCCTCTTCAAACATCATCACAACATTCGTCGAAAAGGCAGAGGCTGAACACATCAGAAATACCACCAGCATTTTGGGACAATCTGTCACAGATTTGGTTAACTGGGAATGCGTTGAAAGAATTGGATCGAAGGAACAGTTCGCTCTTGTCAAGCCATCGGCCAGTCACTCGAAAATTTGTTGCCAAGTTGAGAGAAGAGGGAGACTTGGAGCCCGCCGTCGACTTTCTCGTTAAATCTTCTGCGAGGCGGTTAGAAAAGATAAAGCTCTTTGCTCGACACGGTGGCCCTAATTTAGCGGATCTCAGAGGAGTAAGTATCACCAGATATCCACCAGAGCATAAAGCTAAACATTTTACTTCTAGTACCAAAAATCTGCCAGTCCTCTTGCTAGCGACCAGCTCAAGACGCGACCATGAAAGTAAAGCCTCTTACGGACCCCGACGCTACTACTGGCGTTACCACAACTACTAAGAACACTTCTGTCTACTCCCGCAATTTCCAACAGAACCTTGTTGATAATGGTGTATTTCCAATCTTCTACGAGGACCCCGATGGCACAAGCACAATGGCTCCAAATAACTTGGAAGAGATTGAACGTAGACTGGCACAGCTTCACCATTCTCTTTCACCGTCAAGATATACGGCAGAAATGCAAAAAAAAAGTTCATTCGAGTGGATGCAAACGCTGCTAAAGAGGACCAAGTAATGAGATTAGTGATTTCACTGATTGAAGGCGAGATTACAGATGTAAGATGCGTATCAGGAAAAACTCCATTCAAAAACCTGCAGTACCTGACGGATGGGTCACTTGTTCCTGGCAATCCGGACATCTACTATGGAGCACGTCCAGAACAACTCAAGCGACAAGTACGCGTTGATCTCGGTGAATACATCGCCCCCACAACTCAAGACGACCTTCCCATTGTGCCGAACTTCTTTCTGAAAGTAAAGAGGCCTGATGGATCTCTAGCGGTAGGAGTACGACAAGCATGCTATGATTGTGCATTTGGTGCGATAGGCATGCTTCACTTGCAGTCATATATGCAAGATAAGGTCTATGACAATAATGCATATACTATTACGTCAACTTATCATCATGGTGGCACGCTACAGATGTATGCCAGCCATCCTATACAGAGTGATGGCCCTTCGAGTCGTACCGAGTATATCATGACTAAAATTGGTTCTTGGTCTCTAACGGGGACTCCTGAGCAGCACCTGCAAGGAGTCGCTGCATTCCGAAATGCCGTCGATTGGGCAAAGGAGCAAAGAGACAAGATGATCGAGAATGCAAACCATAGAGTCAATGAAGCAGACGCTACTAATCAAAATCCTTCAGCTTTGGCCTCCAGCTTAACGACTGAAACCCCCAGTATCGAAGCCGCATTTTCAATACATTCTGAATCGCAGTCTCAAACGTCTGTCACCACGCAGAATGAAACTTCCACAAGCGAAACCACATATCATAAGTTGGGGATGCCAAACAATATGTCTACGAGAGATTGAATCCATCGACAAACGCTCTTCAGAAGTGTCAGAGCCCCATCCTCGAAAATGTCGTCTCCAAGGAAGGCAGGAATCAGCTAACGGGGCTGCTGACCATCTTGACAAGTAGTGCGCCTCAGTCGTCGTGGCTAGCGTATGATTGTTTCCTACAGCATTTTGTTTAGAAACAAGACACGATGCTAGATAGCCTTGCAGAAATCAAGGAACAAACACCGGGCTGCAGGTTGTTGGCAATAATACGCGGCAGAATCTTGGTTTCTCGAGATCGTGATGAGAAATTTTTATAGAACGATACAGAATGAAATATTTGAAGCCAATTTTGGGGTTCATTGGATGTTACCAAAAAGGATGTCAAGTTTGGTGAACTTTCTTGGTCGTTAGTGTATTTCATGAATTTGGGTCATGTCTTCATTTTCCTCCATACAATGACAGTAAATGACTATCACAATTTCCATACTCTTATAAGATTAAGATTAGATATGCACCCGTAAGTTTCATCTCATGTTTAATGTATACGGATGAGATGGTAGTGATTGCATATATTCATGCTTCAGTCTTATGACCCTTCTTATTCTGTTTCTCATTTTCCTCCTCTGAATCCCCATCCATGCCTCCGCTCCTCAAAACCCCAGGTCCGAAATTCCCGTCGCCTCTAGATTTGATTATTTATTAGTGATAGTTCCCTCGAAAACACAACTATCACATAGAGTCAAAGCAAAAGCAAAAGCGAAAGAGGAAGAAACCCAAAAAAAAAAAAAGAATAAAAAAAGAACCAAAAACTCAAGGAAAAAAACTCACGTCCCCACCCCCTGCAAATCCAAACTCCAAACCACAGTTCCCCCCATACAAAGCCCATCCGCAAACTTCCTCTTCAACCCCCACGTCTCAAAATCATCAAACCCCATCCACTGCCTCCCCCCACCAAAAACAATCTGTTTAACCGCCTCATCGCCCTCCTGCCCCGCCGCCTCACCACCCACCCACGAAACCCCCAGTCCCTCCCTCAAAACCAACACCTCTATCTCGCGCATACTCAAAATGCCCATCTGAGTCGTACACGGACCGGGAATACTCGGCCCCGTATACGCACATCCCTGTTCGTGACACCCGGGATTCGACAGCGTGTAGCCGCGACCATAGGCAGCGAGTCCGAGGTTGAGTTTGGAGGGGTCGACGCCGGCGAACCATAGGGGTGAGAGTACGCTGTTTATGTCGAGGAGGGAGGTTTGTGGTCGGATGTAGGCGCCCAGAGAGGGGTTGGTGGATTCCCATGGTCCGTGGAGGTCGTAGGACATGAAGTTGAAGAAGGTGGTGTAGGGTTCGAGGTTTATGGGGTCGAAGAATTGGAGGGCGGAGATGTCGGGGGGTCTGGTTTTGTTAGTTTAGTTTAGTTTAGGGTTTCCTTGCATTCTCGAGGGAAAAGGGAAAAAGAGAATATAAAAGAGGGAAAACAAACAAAACCACACTAATCCCCCAATTCTTCTCTGGAAAATTCTCATTAAAACTCTCCCTCATCTCTCTAACCAACGCCACAAACCCATCCCGATCATCCAAACTACCAGGAAACTCCCAATCTAAATCCACACCCTGAAAACCAAACGAACTAAGCCAGCCCTCTACACTCCCAATAAACACAGCCCTACTCCCCACACTCTTCACCATCTGACTCCAAACCTGCGACAAACCACTCGATCCGCCCCCTCCAATCGCCATATAAGTCGCCAGCGTCGTAGAAGCTAACAAGGTAAATGGATGCATGAGAGGGACGGCTGTGGTATCAAAAGGTACCACGTGGAATGTATTGGGGGAGATGGACATGAAGGCGAATATGAGATGCGTGAGACCCTGTGTGTTGATTAGAGGGATGGGGAGAGCATTGCAGGAACGCGTCGCGCTGTTGATTTGCCAGTAGGCTACTTTGCGGCCGTTGGTGGCGGTTGTGCTGCCGCTTCCGCAGTTGGGGTAGTTTATTACGCCGCAGGCGCCGTAGCCTGTTTGGCAGGGTGTGTTGCCGTTGACGGGGTCGGCGTTGATGCAATAGGCGGATGTGGTCTGTGGATTGCTGGTTAGTTGGAGTGTGGGGGGAAAATATTCAATGGTGCAGTAAAGTTTGGTGTGCAGATCATAGGATGCTGGAATACGTACACCGCAGTATCCGTTACCGCTACAGCAGGTATTCAAAGGACATATTTGATTTCCCTGTGGAGCATTTCTTCCACATTGCGGTACATCGCGACGATATGGGAAGTGATTCGAAGTGGAAGTTTTCGTACAATTTGCAGATTCGAAGTCACATTTTCCTAGCCTTTTGACACTGAGATTAGCATCATACCACAAGCATATAGGATGAGCTTTTTTCTTCAATGTGATAGATCTTGGCAAGAGACAATGTTGAGAGAATATAAAAGACACACTCACTGTCAAACGATTAGAGCATGTTTGAGTGATATACAATCAGTAACCTAGGACATAAAATCAGAAGAACTTGCCGAATCACAACAATTGGCATCGGGAACCAGATTTCGATCTAGAAGCACCGGTCCAGCATCACAAGTCCTCAAACAAAACAAACCAATTAAGAAGGATACCCAAAGAAGCATTATATCAGAAATGAATATGTTTATCACTCACATTGAAATGAACGATCAAGGAAAGGTAATTAATTATATCTTCAATCAAATACTGTGTATAAGAGGAACAAATACTCCGGTATATATGCATCTGATAGCTTTTTTGAGTTTGAAATATTGAGCAGGTGAGCGGGAAATAGGCTATCCGCAGCCATACCATTGAGAAAACGATAAGAAGAGTCTGGAGGTTGATGTCTCTGTCCGGTAATTGAATTCACTAGTCATTCAGTAGGGGAATTCCTGGATATCAGGGAGTACTGCAACATGCGGAGCCGAGACATTTCAACGACTTTGCGTAACATGAAATCCCAAGAAGAGGGTATGAAAGGACTTTAAACAATGAGGATGGAAACATGTGAAATTTTGTACAACCACTTGTAATCCGAGGTATCGATCGAAAGAACACCAATTTCCCATCTGCCATGGGGTTTGGTCATTTTGGTAGGACGCCTTGCTAGCTTCTAGAACTTTCTACTCTTAACCAGACCAGTCTTAATACCAGTCTTTCCACCACCGTAACCCACCCTTCTCTTCCCCGCCCCTTGTACACAGCCCGCATACTACTCAACTTCTTCTTCTTCTCATCGTACTTCATCCTCTTCTTTACTCTGGGGTTTCTGACCTCCTTCTTCCTCTTTGGCGCTAATCCCTTGTTCTTCTCAATAACATATCCAATAGCTCTCTTCCCGTCTTCATCATTCTCCACCTCAACCACTCTCGCCAATTTTCCTGCTTTCTTTGCTTCTGCAATTGCTGCGTACTTGGCGTCTTTTTCATCCTTGCGTTTCTTCGATGTTTGTGCGACCATATCATAATACTCGTCTCCATCATCTCGAACCTCGTCAGCAACAGCCGCTTGCTCGTCATCATCGCTATCTCCACCGAGAGCCGTGCCCCTTCCATATTCATCCAATTTCTTTCCCCGCTTCTCAGCCTCAAGGTTGAGTCGTGCCTGACGATCTCGAAGCCTTTCTCTGTAAGGTAGATCCTCGTCACCACCAGCTCCTCTTCCAGCATCAGCTCTTCTGTTTGCTTTCTGGGCAATTTGAGATGTGTAAAATTTGAGTGACTTCTTTCTCTTAGCCTTTTCTTCCGCAGCCTTGGCATCCATAGATTCTTCTTCACCAAAATCAGAATCGTCATCTGCCTCGACAAGAGCTTTCGATGCCTTCCTCGATTTCTTCGATTTCGAGACAAGATCATCAAGATCTGCCAAGTCAGCCTCCGCTTCCTGAATTTGTTTACTACGTTTTGCAGCGGCCCTTTCAGCTGCAGCAATGCGAGCCAACTCTTTCCTAGACTTCTTGGTTGGTCGGATTGTCTCCGTCTCCTCTTCTGCCGTGATTGTGTTCTCTAGATCCTCCATTGAATCGTCTTCCGAGCTAGCCTCCTCCTCTGCAGCTTCGATTGATTTGACCTTGGACCATAACTCCCGACATTGCAGTAAGCTGTCCATAACAGCGTGATCTCTCAACTCTAGTGGATCAATAGTCTTCCCCTGTACTTTACCATCCTTCACCGGAGAGGTTAATATCGCAAAGTACATGCTTAAAGCAGCCATGTAAGCTGCCAAAGTCCTGGCCTTCACAACTGGAATAGGCATTGCTTCAATTGCATCCTCAGACATTCCATCTACTTCCTTCTGTAAATCTTGTAGGACAGGCTGTAGTGCTACGAATTCGTTCGCCAGAAACTCGAATTCCGGATATCTCGTTTGTAGTATCCTTAACCTTTCTTCCGGGCTCATATCTTCGGTGATCTCCACATCCTTCAGAACCTCTGTTACCACATCCCCCTCTTCATCATCACCTCCCTCGCCCAGCCATTCATTCTCATCGAACCCAAAATCAGCCTCCGACATTTTCTGTAGTTTCTTTTGTTGTAATCGTTTAGCCTCTGTCTCTTCCTCCAGCGCATCGGCTTCAGTCTCAATATTATCCGCATCGTAGTAGTCGCGCTTCGACGATCCCCAACCCTCAGCATCTGCGTCTTCTTCTTCTGCGCCCTCATCGTCAGATAATTGTGCTTTAGATTTGTTCTTCGATTTTGGCGCTTCAATTTCTTCTTCCGCCTCGGAGCTCTCTTCCGAGTATCCTAAGATTTCTTCGTCCGATTGTTCAATTAATTCATCTGTAAAAGTCATCAGTCATTGTGAGTTTCAAAGTTCCAATGCTCTGACCTTCATCTCTTGATTTTCTTTGGCGTTTTGCATGGGGTTCCTCGTCCAACATAACTTTATCTCTGTTGATATGAAATTCATCCTCCGAGTCCGCGATATCTTCATATGTTGTGAAGGCCACTTTCCCTTTCGACTTGTCAAAATCCTGTGTGCCATTCTTCGCACTGGGTGCAGAGGCCTTTCTCTTTTTGCCAGCCATTGTTAGAAGTTGACTTGTATTACTGCGCAAATTGCGTGGAGTCCTCTTTCTCTCCTCGTTCAAGAATCCGATATCGAAAAATAATTTTCTCATTATCTTAGCGTTGCGCTAATCCCTGCCAGCGGAGATAAGAGAACCGTAAATACACGTGATTTATTCCCCTTTTCTTCCAATCTTGATCTTACATTTCATACTTCTTTTTGTAGCGTAGTGCAGTACCCTTACATTGCTATTAACATTTGACTATATTTGATTCTTCTCTTATGTTTCATAAGTATTGTAATATTCATGCATTATCCACCCAACAAATATGCTCCTCGCAAACCTAAATGCTCCCGATTCATAGATTTCCCAAATATCCCTTCCATTTCCACTTTCCCACTTTCCCAAAGCCATGCAAGATTCGATATCTAAAATCCCATTCCATCCCCCAGATCATCCCCTCCAAAAGCATCCAGCAAGTCACCGCCATGGCCACTTCCACCCATCATCATTAACTCCTCACCACCAGCACCCATGTCATCGATATTTAGATTTGTTTGATCGGCTGGCCCTAGTCCAGCATCTCCCATCACAGCATCTCCCATCACAGCATCTCCCATAACTTCATTCAGAGCATTTAGGCCATCCTCATGTGGTAATAATTGTTGTTGGATAGCCGATTGTGCTTCCACCCTTCTGTATAATCTAATCACAGTTTCCGCATGAAAGGTATCAGTCTTGTGGACTTTCGGCATGTTTTCTGCTTCTGCCTTCAAAGCCTCCTTTAACGTTAACCGACGCTGGAGCGGATGTGGTGTGTTGCCACTCAAAATGTCCATCCCTCGGCCAGAGTCAAAGCTCGTAGGATCTGGAGCGCAGACTAACGAAGTAGCGATGTCAAGTGCCACGCTTCCATTTCCAGCTTCAGTCTGTGCCTTCACTTCATCGATAATGATATTTAGTAGCCGCTTTGCACCGAGCATTTTCAATCCACTAAGAATCTGTCGATGTGTATAAGATGCCGGCATAATATGCATGCCAGGATTACGGGCCCATTGAAGGCCCCATTGAACAAGAATAGCAATTGTGTGTTTTATACTAGCACTCATTCCACCTCCAGGTGTCGCTGTCCACGATTCTAGTTCGCTGTGCTTACTAGCACCTCTACGTTCCCAACCTATATTCGACTCCAATGCCTTCGATATTGGTTCGATATCTTGGCGTTGGGGTTCAGCTCGTTGGAGCCATCGAAGACTTTGTTCCAGATTTTTGGCTACGATTTTGAGGATTGAGTTGAGCAGATGAGACGCTTCCATATTGTTCGATATGGACGGAGGATTTTTGATCAGAGCTGACAGGATCTGAAGAATATAAGTGGCCTGGTGACGTGCCTCCCACAAGTGAGCCGAAAGCCATGTAATGCCAGGAATTAGCGAAGGGAGTAGAAATGGTTCAACCATAAATTCCAGGCCGCCTTTCAAACCCTCTTCCGAAAGAGTATCTGTGCTGAGTGCAAGAACAATATGGTGAAACAAAGTTGGCACCAACAGGTAGAACTCTTGTGGCGGACAGGAGGACATTAACTCATCACCAAGTCCACCACCCTCTGGCTCAAATAGCCCCCTAATCCATCCATCCAAATGATTTTGATCTTGTTGTGATAATGGATCGAAAGCTCGACTCAGATGACCCTGAACAAGTAGCTTTGCTACGAATGACTCAGCCGGGTTTTTGATACCCAAATCAACAGTTGAAAGATTGTAACGGTGTGTAAATGATATAACAAGAAGTAATATCGATCCAAACTCCTCATAAACAGGTTGATATTCCCCCTGGTCTTCGTCATAACGCCAGTTGTCAAGCAGCTCGCAGATCGGCTGCAAAAACGAGGTAGGCTTGTTGAAAAGAAGCATTATATCCAAAGACGATGGGTTCCGTGCCAATTGACTGCACAAGCTCTTCAAGGTCATTGTCTCCTTATTTCCACACATGTGTTTTATAACCTACCATTGGTCAGTTATGGTTACGGTGAGATAGTCGATGCACATACCTCTGCGATTGCTTGGCTGACTGCACCAGCATTTCCATCCATATTTTCTAGTTCGGAAATCAACCCTTCAACACGTTCTGAGTCAGATAAACACTGCTGAACAAGATCCTGCTTAGAATATCTGCCCCCGGCAGGTAAACTCTGCATAGGTATATCACCGAGTAATGTTTCGATGCTTGATTCTGGAATTAAGCCATGTAAACAGCAAGCGAAACAGAAGTCTTGCCTAACAGAATCCGAGAACATGTCGTTATTGCTCGACTCCGCAAACAGAGTAGAAAGTGTGGGAAATGCATTAGTATCAACATGACTCAAAGCTTCCGTGACACAAAACTCTGAAGTTAGAGGAGGGAAGAATGACGCTGCGAGTGTGGAAATGAGTAGAGGAACTTTATTGATCAAAAACGATCGTAGTATAGTTGTCGTTTGCTGCCTCTCATTTCGAAAGGTTGCGTTGGCCAAAACATCAAATGATGCAAGTATAAGATCTACTGTCGTCGATTGGACATCACCCTTAGAATGTTAAGTAAAGATTTCGCAAGAGAAAGGAGCTGTCCTTACCTGATATCTATTGTGTAGATAGGCAAAAATTACATTGTCATCAATGAGGGGTCTGCTAACCAGCTGCAATGGTTAGCACAAACGAGTCATTTTCGCGATGACTATGGTTGAACTTACGAGAGAATTCAAATAGATGTAGAGACCAGCTCGGGAGTTGACAGCTGGCAAATCAGCAATCACGATGTTATCAATATTCATCCCCATTGTGGAATCTAAAATGTCGTTTATCTCAGCATTGGCAGCTTGCTCTTTCTTGTTGACAGGTAGAATCGTAATTAGAGTTTGTGTGCGAAAAGCATCTAACCGCTGTGCATTCTGCGGGGAGCTCTGAAGTAGCAGAGGAACAAACCCAGCCATAGCTTTTCCGAGTTCGATACCCGTCCCTGTTGATTAATGTTAGCATGTAGCGGTAGCATTTAGACATTAGAATAATGCAGGAGGACCTTTTGGATAGCGACCATTTTCTAAAACTTTCAGAATCTTTGCATTCCCAACCACGGCAACCATTAGAGTTCCCAAAGCCATGCCAACCATCCCAATCTCCTCGACATGCGCCTCGACGTCCAAAATTTCGTGCGCTCCACCCCTCATCCCAACAGCAACCATATCCATCCATTGAATTGATACCACCAATAAATCAACGGCTTCTTGAACATTCTTAGGCCTTGCACCAGTAGAAACTGTCTTCGCAAGTCGGTAGAGCATCATCTCCTCGGCAGAATATGAGTTCTTCCACCTCTTATTCCCCTCCTTCACCCTTTTAGCCTTATTCGCGTCATTATTGGCTCCGTTCTGCATGTTTCCATCTTGCCTATAGTTCCAAAGCGAAGAATATTTTAGCAAAGTTCGTAGAACCCCGGCGCAATCAATTAACCCTTCAGCTAGCAATATTTGTACATAACGTAATATTCGTGGGTCGACACTTATATCATTGTAATCATCGGGCCGTAGAAATATTTCGCATATATATGGAGATGGTAACGGGCTTCCGGAGGACAGTATACGAATGTACTCTGTGAAAGGTTCAAAATCGAGCCTCGAGGCAAGGCTATTATTCAGTAACTTCTGCCAGTTTGCGATGGCAGCCTGCGCAGCCATTTTTAAGTCGTACAAGTAAATACAAACACAGATCAGTAAGCCACGATTACACCTCTCATACACAATTGAAAGTGTCAGAAATAAGTTGAGGAATTAAGAAAGAAGAAGATGGTTAAGAATACAATTATGTTGAACAGTAAGGAACAATGTGCGTGAGTGAATCCAGAAATAAAGTGTCAGTCCAGATGTGAATGGATTACCGATAATGCATGGAGTTGCGGGGACCAATTAGCGAGCCATACTCTATTAGCCTTGTATTTTAGTGTGCCATAAAGTTCAGCCTCGACCTACCTTGTACTCGGTACAATTTTGGCCTCCACATGTTGGATTTCAAAGTAGAATGAGCAGAAGTAGAATCAGCAGAATCATCATAAAGTAATACCTCATAATTTTATATTAGCGGCATGATTGCTCCCAAGTATCTGGAATCCTGTTGTACAGAACAGTAGAGAACGACCTGCGACGAAGTCCGATGACAATGTCACAAACCTCATATTCCTACCAAAATCCCAAATGTCTATAACTCCTATTGCCAGCGTAGTACCTTGTATATCCGCCTCCATACTCCAGCAAGAACAGACACAAAAACCTAGACTTTAATAATATCTGTGTTGTAGTCCTCAATCATCTAAATCCCTCTCCCTCTTTATCCGTGGCGAGTTGTAGTGCGGCGTGCTTGAACGTGGAGGCTGTAATAGACCTTGCGGGGTTCTGGGACCGATCACCCAATCCTGCATGGCCATCCAACTGCTCCAGGCCTCATCTGCATGGGAGAGTTCTAGCTCCTCAATTTGCGGAAGAGGGATCATGTAAGGCGTTGACTGTTCTGCAGCTGCGGAATCATCATAGTATTTTTTTACGTCGAGCCATTCCTTACTTTTCGATGCGAAAAGATAATTGCGTCGCTCCATTTCATGTATTGTTCCTATGCCTTGACGCCAGTCTGCCCCGAACCACATTCCCAAAATTGGACCATCATCATGACCGGTGACTATCAATCGTTTTATATATGGAATTAGAGAAATGGGTTGCGGATAACCTGGAACAGGGTGGCGTTCTTCCTCTGCACGATCCGTGAGATTCGCCACGGACCACGCAGCCGAAGCTCGATTGACTGGGTATGGCTGCCTTTGGTACGGAAGTTGTATGTTTATAAAGGCTGCCACGGCTTGAACGTAAAAGTCATGTTGAGCTTCGTCTAGAAAGTACTGATGGCACTTTAAGTAATGTCGATACCAATTAAGCGTGTCAAAACCGGCTTCTTGTTCCTGGCCTTCGTTTGCGATTCCGCCGGAAGGATTGCCGTAATTTGACCCTTGCTGGTATTGTTGTTGAGGATTTCGAAGGTTAGGGTTTGATGGCCCAGCTTGGGAATGATACGCCATTGCCTTTCTATCATGAAGACGATCTGTATTAGCAAGCGTAGGGACAGTGTCAAGAAAGTGCAATGAGAGATGTATCTACTAAACGCAGGCTCGAATCATAAAAGATTACGAAACTCGTTGTACACGAGAATTTCCCGTTGTTAATAAAATCAGCGCAAATGAGTATGGACTGACAAGCTTAAGAAGGTTCCGAATCACCGTCACATATAAAACAACGACTCGGCCGAGAAGGAATATTTTTTGTTATGAATTAGTCGGTGATGCTGAAATCAAACAAGTTGTCTTTCGTGTCGAGGGGCTCATAGTATCCCAGAAAGACCGGTTCCGGGAAAGCGCGTACAGTAGAGAGTACTTATACTTTTCATGACGGAGCAGGAGAGGAAGGAGGGGACTGTGAGTACAATAAATACAATGGTTGCATCAAGACGTAATAAGTGGAGGTGTGAAGAGATCCAAGCTATTTCGTCAGTTGAAACCATGGAAATGATCTTAAAAAGGAATAAAACCAAGCAAATGGTGATAAGGTTATTAGAAAATGAAATATTAGAAAATGAAGGGTCTTGTGAAATTGCTCAGTAGGCCGGAAGTAGCCTCGCGGATACATTACATGGCAAGCACAATAAATACATGATGAGTGCATTTTCAATGTTCCAGCGCGTTCACACGATGGATTCCAGGGTATTCCAGGGTATTCCAGGGTGGTCCCCAGGGTTCATTGGAGGGGTATACAGATATGTTATCGGATATCCAGACATTCGCATATTCAGGGTCTATTTTACGCCGGGAGGGTGACTTGGGCTGGCATATTATTATAGTGGGAAATTATATTTGTTCCATCTAGATGGGTGGACGGGTGGGTTTGGGTGGATGAATGGATGGATGGATGGATGGCTTAGGCTTAGGTTGGCAACTAGATTAGAGATGATTAGAACGAACATGAGGAGGAAATGCACCTACTACTTAGCACATATAGTAGTGTTCTTTAGTACATAATTAGTGGTTTCTACTAAGGGAGAGCTCTCATCGTATATCGGCTCCACCTGAGACCTTTTTCTGATTCTGAACATCAAGAGGTGCACCACACCACATTATCACCACCATACTATCACCACCAAATCATACCATTGTACCGCATGGATAGATAGTTTTACTTTCATTGATCGTTTAATACTACATAGTATCTATATCTATGTCTTCATCTAATTTATTCTAGCGCTTTCAATTTACCTTGATCACACCTAGCTCCCATCCCGGATAACCCAAATACTCCATAAACAAAACGAGGGGTTCCTTGACTAGGTGGTCTGTCAATATTTTTTCAGGGACCATGACATAAGGTTTGCACTAGATGGACACTCCATGAACAGTGCACATTACTGACCTTTCCACAGATCACGGATTAATTACAGATTACCACTGATTACCACTGGCTACCCGTTCTACTACTCCGTACGTACATAAAGTTAATGTTTTACCACCAATCGAAGAAAATGAGAACCGAGAAAGGTTGCAAAACCACCAGCCTGCCTGCATCTTTGACGAAAACCAGTGTCGAGACCGTTCGAGACAGTTTCGCGCTGCAGTCCTCTCATCCCTCAACTTGTCTAGACGCTATTCAACGTAAAAGGACCATCCAATATACACCTCGACCAGGATAAGGAATTTCTCTTGTTAGGGATCATTCAACAGGCGCTTATTCCAACCTACTTTACACCTTTCGTACTAACATCCAGTCCTATCAGCGGTGGAAATATTCTGCTTCTAGAGCTTTCAGACACACCATCTTACCTTCTGCGCCTGGTTGAATGCCCTACCCCCTTTAATCCACTGGAAGATGTTTTTCAGTATCATCTCATCTCATCCGTCAAGTCATCTCTCAGAGTTTCTTACTACTTATTCCTACTTCAATCGCTCAGTTTAGTAGTGCTTCCGAAACTCATTTGGATCACTACATATTTGACTCGATGGTTACCAAGACTCTGGTTTGGGTATCCATATCCTTTCTCTCTAGTGTAGTACTATAATTGCTTTCGTCTGCATTAACCCGTGGCACTTCCTTTACGCGACCCAATGGTGATTGGTTCATTGGGCGTTAGCGTTGGGACGGCTTAAGTTTCGGGGGGGAAAAAAACATCTTCGTCCGTACATTTGATCATCTATCTCTAGGGGCGGTCAGTTGAGTACACATGTGTCGTGCAGATACTTTTGACTTGTGCCACGACTGCGAGGCTGGCATATTCGGCGTTGTCAATAGCTGAAATCTCTCAAATTCGAGGGTTTCTACTTCTTATCGCTTCCATTAAAAATGTATATCATGGGGAGGGCTGCATTGCTTGTGGACGGAAGCGAAGGTCCCCAATAGTGTTCACCGTTTACGCAGGGCATTCTTATCTATCATTTTTTCAATCGATGAAAGAACAAGCCTTCAATAAGTCAACAAGTGTCTGCATGATAGGATTTTTTGCTGTTCGGGCTGCACCCGAATGAAGTATTGACACATATATTCGGCTCGCACCGGAAGATGTACTTGATTCGGTTCTAGTTCTGGATCTAGAACTACCTCGCCGTGGACAGAAATATACATCTTTGCCCCCAAAAAACCAGTTTTAAAGGCAAGACAAATGATACTTATTCGACGTGCACGAGTGTGGCTTTTATTATGTTCTTCTGTCCTTCACCAGAGACCATCCCCCATCCAACTTCAATGACATTTGAACAGACAAGAAGAGATGCGGCGCCCCAATTTGGCAAAAGGGCGATGATCTGTGCCGATTGAAGATATCCAAATTAAATGGTCCGACTCGGGATCTGCGGCCGTTCGGAAGTACCGTTGTATGGCTGTCGATCACAGATTAAGCAAGCTCACCGATCGTCATCCGTACATTTTGAAGAGATCTGATAGCACTTTATCTGCGTACTACGTGAGAAGTTATGCTTATTTTGACAGCAAGGTCATTGTTTCATGGTCCCTTACCAACCCATGGATATATGAATCAATCACCACTTTAGAAAATTCTACTCGAAAGTTTCTTTGCCGGGTATTGATTTTTCTTTTGTTTTCCAAGCCTCAGCCTTAAACATACGCGTCATTGTGGTGGCGATTTTCCCAGCTAAGTATATGTGCGGCCAGAATGAGGAATAATAATTTGTCCCACCAGAACACAGGGTTGCACGTCTTTCATTATAAATCCGAATTATTCCAGTGTTCTGGTATTCAGTTGTACTAGATTAAGTTACAAGCCATATCTACCACGAGATCTGGCAGGCGAGATGTGGAACTCGTACAAAGAGTTGATTCTGCATATGTAGTAGCTTATCACTTTCGCCTTGTCATGTTCAAGAGTGTCAGGAGTCACACATATATCACGAAGATCTTCGGAACTTTTCTTTTCCCGCTTCCTATCGAGATTAATGCTCTTCACATCCATAGATTGAAAGGAGTCCTTGGCCGAGTGACTGTTCTGCAGGTGCAATGCATTGCTGGCCGAGATGTTTTAGGGTTGTAGTTGAAACCTTTACCTATACCATTGAACATATGAGCTTCGTCCAAGGGAAAGGATCGCGGCATGCGAGACTTGGAGTTTCGGCTATTAATTGCCTAATTTCTTGATGCCTTTATATCCGAAAAGTGCCCTTCTTAATCTCCTAGCCATCTCAGGTCCGAACGGAAAGTATTCTTTCGGCAAACCATAAGCTTGAACTATCATATACGTTCTGTCTATCCCATGATGAACATTTCAGCACCGGGTAAAGTGCTAATTCCTTCCACTCGTACAGACAAAATACCCTATCATTGCGAAAAAGCCGACCATCTTTCGGGATTCCCTTGAGATTGTACTTTCCAGAACCACAATCCTCAATCTCTAGCCTCCTACGCGTAGCGTAATAAGAGATATATTCTTCGTTAAGCAACCTTCACAGGGTAACGTATCATTTAGCATATAGACCACGATAATTTAACCCTTCTGACCTGCACAATTATATCGATAGTCGTAAACAAGTCGATTTAGGTCTAATCGGTCGATTCTAGAATATATTGCTCATTTTGATGTAGGTATATCTTCTGATACGAAAAGATAGGATTAGGATTCCCGTACTATCTAGTTTGGAAATAAGAATACAAATCTTGATATTGGTGAGATATCTAGGGATAGATGGAATGAAGAACTCCGAGTATTGAATAGTCGGCATTAGCAGATTGGATTAGATTGTTAAGCCTCCGATGATGGATGTCAATATTTATGCGTTTATTTTATGGTTCATTGTTCTTTGTTTTAACTGAGTTGATTATTATGAATAGTTTCATAATATAATGATGGTTTTGATATATAAATTCAATCTTTTTAAATCAAGCGGGAAGTAAGATTACATTAGCGAGTTGAGAACCTTGAACTAGATTTTTGAATCTAATCGTTTGACTGTATGTCTTGCTGTTGAGTAGGATGGATACATGTATAAGTGAATAGATACTAATAATCTTATTCACATTCTACACAGTTTGTTTACGGTATATATATTAGTAATATTATAAACAAAGCCACGAGCAAATTAAGTGATACTGTAGATAGATATGCAGCTGTACTTACTTACCTTGCTGCGGATATAAATCTATGGTACGGTTCATATTCTCTACGCTTAGTAATTTGGTATGTATATGTAGCGATTGCATATTGTAAGATTATTTATACAGCTATTTTATCTAGGGTAGAATATCGTATAGATTGGGTTTTGTATATTTAAGTTTCTTGTGTTCTGATGCTTCGATATAATTACACATAGAAACTTTTCTCAAAACGAATCAAATCAAAATAAAATAAAACAAAATATCTGTCAATTTACACAACACATCAATCAATCTCATCAAAAATGCTACCAAATATCTCCCAAAATATCCTCCTCAAGGTTTTTCACCCTAAGGTATCTAATAAGTCTGCTACTTCTGCAGGTTCACCAAATTCAGCAGGTCCGGCAAATCCAGCAAATTCAGTAGCTATGGAACTTCAATCAAAATGTACACAGCACAGTTCGAAAGCTGGATATACATGCGCTGCTAAACTACAAGGACCAAGGGGGATTCATCTGCTGCTAAGTAGGAAGGTTGGTGGATGGTGGGTGGTGTGTGGTTTGTGGGAGGGGAGGATTGTGGGGTGGGCAAGGGGAGGAAAGGGAGGAAGGGAGGAAGAGGGAGGGAGGGAGGTAGATATCGATGTTAGGAGTTTGGTTTTTTTTTTTTTTTTTCTGATTCTGGGTGCTGATGAGTGGGTGGGTAGGGGATGGGTGGACCGGAATAGATTAGTGATAGGGGTAGGGATGCGGTGCCACCTCTGTATTAAGAAGGGCGGGTAGCGGGTACGGGTACGGGTATGGGGATGCATATACATATACATATACCACTTCTGTATCAAGAAAGAAGGACAGGTTGTGATTTACAGGCTATGCGTCACGCGTTCTAAATAAGCATATACTTCGCCCCCTGAGAATTCCATCCGAGGTAGTGTTGATCTTGACATACATGTTTGGCTTTTGGCTAAGTATTACTCATAATTATAACTACGATTCAGAACCGCAGTGGTGATATTTTCTTAGTGTTACTTAGAAATTGGTGAGTTATATTTATTTCTTCTTTAATCTTTTTCAATCTGGACTTGGGAGGGCTTGTAGAGACCTTTTTTGAGATTGGGGATTTGATATAATTGATTGTAGGATTAATATCTTACAATTATACTTCTATGGTTTTTAAGGTGATTGATGGTTTTGTGATATAGTGCATGGGCATTAATGGTGGGGATTTTTATGTTTATGATTTTGTTTTTTGTGGGGATTTTGGATGGATTAGTATGAGTGTGATGTTGTTAGATGGTTCATGATGGTGGTTTTATATCGGGTGATGATGAGTGGATTGTTGTGGTTTCGGGACTGCACATAGTATTACTTTTAAAAAAATTAGATGAATAATATCGATATTTTGTACAATATATGAGTATTATGCGGAATTTTATAGCTAATATATCCAAACTAACAAGTATAAGGTTAGATAAGATAGGATAACCCACTCAAAACCACAAACCTAATCGCCGTAAAGTCTACGTCTACGTCTACATATAGTGTAAAAGAGACAGGTCGAGATATGTGCATCCCGATAGTATACTGTGAGGGGGAATGGGATGTAAAGGCTGATTAGACTACATTTTAACGCTTCACTTATAGAAATGATGGGTTTCATAATGGGTCTAGGTTGAGGTTATATGAGTATGCAAAAATATATGTGTAAAAAGATTGATTGTTGTAAAAGAGGAGATGAAAACCTCTTTTCTATCTAATTATAAGAGGTTATGTAATTGGATAGTTGGAAACTACGTACATGGGCTTACAATTCCAACTTTCTCAAGACAGCAGACGTTATTTACAATCCATTAAATTTTCGTAATGATATGAACCTCGCATTTGAAAATTATCCCTCACAAGCGCATACAATCTTTGCTCAAAGGCTCTCCTATCCGTGCTTAATGACAGTCCCTGTTAAAAATGCAAGGTAATTAGAAAGCAAAAATGATTCATTTCGATAGTTTTCCTATTACCTAGCTCCAGGAAAACATCTCATTAAATCAAGAAATTTGAATAATTAATTTTCTGACGTCAAGTGAAGTAAAGTGAATACATACGAGCTTTCTAAGCAATGAATGGTAAATCTTCTTCATCTGTTGGGTAATAAGAGTACTCGCGGAGGTGGCTGAGTGCTAGACTTGGGTATCTTATATTAAATATTTTGAAATTTGAACATTATTCAGCATAGAATATTCAGTATCCAACTAAATATAAGTAGATATAATTATACCGTCTTATTTTTTTAGTCTAGACAAGGTGAGGTTTAGCCGAGGGGGTAATTCTGATATGAAGACTCATTAGAAAATATACAATATTATTTAAGTAAACAACTTATGAGCATAGTGCCAGTTACCAGCTTATTTCTTTTTAAAAAAAAAGGACATGACCAATGACCATCCTTTCATTTATGTATATACAATCTAGCTTGGAAAGATTTTTTTAACTGCAACTTTGAGCGACGCATGGATCTGGATTAGGCGCAGTACAATAGTGGTATTATAAAGATAATTAATTGTCTCGCGTATTTTTCATCACCAGCAAACACCATCAAAAATGGCTGAAAGCAACAACTTTTTCTAATGCAAAGTAAGATTATTGAAGAAGCATCTGGTAAAGCCGGAAGAGAACTGCGCGCATTGAGAAGCGTGGAAGCTGAACATCTGGACATTGCGAGGTGGATATACATACTATCTAATCGACGAATACACTCAATAGGTCAAAGAAGGAAGAATTACAAATTGCAGGAGACCCATGTCGACCAAAGAACAATCCATTAGAATTCTCCCATCAAAAAAGCTGGTCACATTAGTCTCAAAGACAAAAATACATTCTGTCTCTAAACCCAGTTTTCTCCAAGCTACTAGACCGGAAGCTAGAGAGGGCTTTTTCAAAGTTATTGTCTCAAAGATCGATTCCTCCTTCGCCACAAATGCCATATAGTGATTCACTCAAGCACAAGTCTCACATTCTCCAACCACAAATACTCGTTGATTTTTGCTTTGTTGAATATTTTGAAAAAAATGATGTTATAATATCATAACGTCTTTTCCTTGAAGAGTTTCTTCGCTCCTAACACTCCTTGGGCAACGATCCCCATAGCATCTTTCATCAATGTGAAGCTTCTGACTCTGGAACTTCTTTCTATTAAGCGAGCGAGCTACCCGAGGAAAGATGAATACAGAAGAACCCCGTTATACTGGACATGAAAAATTAGGCATATTTTCTCCGGTATATATAGGTTTTCGGTATATTGAGGTTCAGGTACTAAAACAACGACAAATTTTGTATAGTAAATTAGTTTCGAATTTAGATTTGTTATCATTGTAGATTTATTATGTGATCAATTTATTAAAATTTTCAAGGTAAAGATATAATAAAGGTTAATTTATATTTATCAAAAGTGTTATATCAATAAATAATACTTGGATATATCGGAATTATAAGATTATTGTTCGGTATAAGCAAAATACTAGAATCTCTAGTATACTCATACAAAAAAGGGAAATTTTACAAAATATAACCGGTATAAGCGGGTTTCCGGTATAAAAATGTCCGGTATAGCGGTGTCGCTCTGTAAAACCATCGAAAGCACTTTAAAAGTCACAGATTGGGCGAGACACCGAACACGGAGAAAATTTCCTGAAAGGAATGGTTACTGTGCAAGTAAATGCTGTTAAAAGGGAGCATTTTTTTTAACCGTTTTAGTGGGAGGTTAGTGTAGCTGAAGTCACGACTTGCACTAATCGCTTCATATTCTATCACCGAAATTTGCTGAAAAACTATCCGAAGCTTTTGGGATGCAGGGAGTCAAGGAGTTTGATGCGTGAGAAAGTACTCGGCTATTACTTAAGGGTTGAATGATGATAGCCGCTTGGTGTGATATGGGTGGTCACTCTATTTTTGCATAGACTTCTCATCGTTGATCACAAATCGAGGGTTTTTGGTTGGCACAAAATAGGTTGACTTTATTTTATTGAATACTTTGGAAAGAGAAACCCTCCTTTTCAATCTCAAAAATGGGATAACACTGCGTATACATATAGAAAGCCCTCGAGGAAGAGCAAAGAAATACATTTTCCCTTTTCCACTATCCACTATCCACCATTTCAACATACCGTTATAGAAATATTACACCATAGTGATGCCAAGACAATAAGATTTCCAGTCGTACCATCGAATACATACTGTGTTCATCGATATCCTTTTAAACTAGACTGGGTTATCACTGCCTGCCTGAATCATCATGACATGAAGCAAGATTTCCATTATATTCCTACGGCACCTGAGTCCAGCAAGGCGAGCCCGACACTCGAGGTGACACAAGAAGTCCCACAAATAAGGTTCGACACCCAATTCTGAGGCTATTTCGCATGCCCTATAGATCGCTCTCAAAATTTCTTCTTTTCTTTCTGACATGAAAGGAATTACAGTACTAGAGCATAGATAATTAGCCGAGGGTCTTTTTACACCAAAACTTAATTATTCTATTTATGTTAAAAGGAATAGAAGTTACCGGTACTAATCACGTGTCGTGATTAGTAATACGGTTACCTAAACAGGCTAGATTAGACGAACCATAAGCAGGCATATTGGTCCCCTCCGAGGATACCAAGAGGAGATTGATATGCCTACAGACGTAGTAATATAGTCAATATAGAGGCCTCTTCCACCCAATCTTTTAATAATAGGTTTAGAATAATTAAAATACTTCGATAAATATACTAATCAACAAAAAAAGGGCAAATATCAAATGTTAATATTAGATAGATATAAAAGTTATGGATCGATACCTTTTTAATCATATTGTAAGTCAAATGACATTATATATATAAAGTTACTATTATATTCAAGTCATTTAATTCAATTATTTGATATTGGATATTTTAGTGTATTCAAATATTCATATAATTGTCAAATTGATAAGTTTATTAAGGTATATATCAATTATATTTCTAAAATTGAATTTTTTATAGCTTTCAAAGCTGTATATCAACAATCGATTATAATTCAGAATATGAAAGCTAATTTTCGAGGAGCAGGACTAATACCATTTGATCTTCAAGCTGTGCTTTCGAAATTAGATATTTGAATTCGCACACCTACCCCTTCATCGACCCTTTTGGAATCTGCTAACTCTTGGGTCTCTCAAACACCTCACAATCCAACTGAAGCTCTTTTACAATCAACTTTAGTGAAATCTCGAATTGCTCGATATCAATCAAGTTCTCCTATATCTATATTCGAAATTGTAATTGTATTAACTAAGGGTACAAAACAACTAACTTATAAGAATATACTTTTAAATGTAGAGATTCATATACTTCAAAAGGAAAATGAGATATTAAGCAAACATCGATACATTAAAAAAACTCAATTACATCAAAGAAGAGTACTTACTGATCAAGAAGCTACAGATATAATATCACAACAAGAGATGAATATTTAGATTCGATATAACAAGTATCAAAATAAAGGAAATTCCAATACAGAATCATCTATTAATCGATGTTGTAGTAAATGTGGAAAGACTGCTCACAATTCAAGAACTTGTTCTAATAATATAATAGACCCTAGATTATTAGATTCTTAATAGTTTAAATCAATTGATTCAATAATTGTTAATTAAAATAAGTTTAAAGTAGTTGAATAAGTGAAAAAGTGACGACTCGCTGATAGTGTGTTACGACGGATCTCACATACCTAACATCACGTGATTAGCATCATGTGATATGAGGATCCCAGTAGGCTCAGCTGTCCCAGTACAACTGGGACAACTGGGAGCACTGGGACGCATGCCACGATGGTCTATATAATCAAGATGGATTTCCTTTGTATAGAGCTTCGTGCTCAAGATCAATCATTTAGTATACTCTACTATTAGTTACGAATTGCATATCATTATTGTCATTACTTTAAGTCCCTGCTTGACGCCTAGTTATAAACCTACTTCGAGAGCCTAGAGCACTTCCACGTGATCTAGACGGCAAACCACGTAACATAGTGGCGACTCGCTGATAAACCACGTTATTATAAAATTTATATTATTTTTGTAATAGAATTTCGATAAATAATCTAAAAGTAAGAATCTGAAATCCTCAAAAAGATTAAACAAAGAATAATATAATTTTGAAAATAATATTTTTAATTTTTATTGATTTTACAACAAAAATGTTACGACAGGTAACAATTAGGTCACAGGATTAGTAATAACACGTGATGCGAGGACTCGAAGAGCTCGAAGGCTTGGCCTCTCGAGCCCTTCGATCGAGGAGAGCGAAAGGATCGAAGCTCGATACCCTCGCTCTCTTCGAGCCACGAAGCATGAAGGTCTATATAATCAAGATGGATTTCCTTTCTATAGAGCTTTGTGCTCAAGATCAATCATTTAGTATACTCTACTATTAGTTACGAATTGTATATCATTATTTGTCATTACTTAAGTCCCTGCTTGACGCCTAGTTATAAACCACCTCGAGAGCCTAGAGCACTTCCACGTGATCTAGACGGCAAACCTCGTAACATTAAATACCATTCTCGATCTACTTTCAGGAAAGTCGCGGGGCAATAGCAAACGGTAATTATTTCTAGCGCCATGACAGGCTTGATAAGACGGATCTCAATTTTATTTGTGCCAGGCGTAAAAATGCCGATGGTGTTTAGAGTACAACAATGATCGAAGGGAATTCCATGAGCAGGTATAAAGATTCCACGTTGAATAACTGCTGGGAACCGAACAGCATTCCTCAGGAAGATCTCATAATTACTCATGGCCGGATTGTCTTTTAAGAGACTAAATTGGCGTTTTGATTGAGCATCGAGCGTATCAAAAAAGCTCTAGAATTCATACACAGGCGGGAACCCATAGATTAGGCTGGATCGGGTGGTTCAGGAGATAAACACATCGCCATTAATACTGTGTCTGTATGTACGAGCGTTCCAGCAGGAGTGTCTTTCTTAAGTGTACACGATATTTTTCCATTAAATCTGGCGTGGACATTCAATCCTGGATGGTAAGTTCCCGTAAACATTTTTCAGTGAGATGATGAATGGTTCAAAAGAATTGTAGATTGACCTGTAAAACTGGTGTAAGTACTATCGCTTTTAGATCAAAAAATAGGAAGGAATGAAGAAGAATTGATCTTAGCATGAGGAAGGAATAATTCATCAGGAGACGGGCCCCGAAAGCTCCGGACTCTGCAACTAAAAACTTGATTTTTGAATCATTAAACTTTTAAGACCTTAATAGTCCATTCAGAATTTTGGGCTTTTTTAAACACTGATTCACCTCAGGATTTCAAGTTCATCTAAAACAAAAGTCAGTTTAGATCTAAAATTTTGGATTCCTTCAAAGTGGCAAATCAACAAATTCAACTGGACAACTTTCAGGATTCATATGCACTGCAGTGCAAGGTATTAAAAACAATCACTCCTTCCTGATTCAGACATGAATTAACTATTCACCTCGCTTGCCAAAATATATCACTCTCTTCTAATCACTCGTGCCTAATCCGCCATATTCTAGCCTGTCTAGGAGACCGGGAAGACACATGAGTGATCAATGTACAGGAAGGAGGAAAGAGGGGTGTTGGTTGAAATTCTAGAACATTTAGCTCAACCAAATCTTTGACGAGGTATGCATAACATTACATGAATGTAACGTCAGCATGATTCTAAGAGTTTACTTCATAAAACACCGCAAGCATAATTGATTCTACGTTACTCATCCGCCGACCAGCAATTCCCTGAAACCTCAACGATCTTCCAGCAGAACCATCAACAGCACCGTCCTCTCGGACTCCTCATCTCTCCCTCATAAGCTCTGCATATCTCACCATATTAAAAACCGGAATCTTCTCATCCCCTCCAAGCTTTTCCAAAATCTTCCCTTGCACAATCTTGTTATATGTAAAGCTTTCCGCCACACACTCTACTTTATTCATATCAAATTCCCAGTCAAACTCTAGAATGCGTCCAGTTCTATTTTCCCATATTAGTGTATTCAAAGCCCATGAACACCAGCTGAACATTCCGAGGTGGTGTATTTCGGGATCAAATTTGTAAAGTACATCATACAGCAGATCTTGGGATTTGACTTTAGCGAGTAGGATAAGAGTGAGAACTCTTTGACTTGAGTCGCGCAGATGGTTCTGGCGGTAGCCTAGTCCTATTTGACCGCACTCTTCTATTGCGACACATGGGTATATATCTACTAGCTTATGCTGGACGAGAGAGCCCATGTTGGAGGCGTTTCCGGTGACTAGAGAGGTGTCATATCGGAAGGGCTGTTTGTTTTCGCATTCTGAGACGCAGAGATAGAGGTAGCTCTGCGCTTCTTGGCTAGGTGCTTCGGTATCTTGGAGGTCGGGCTTCAACCTAGGATAGGCAGACATGATGATTATTGATAGCTCCTTATGAGTTTAGATTCTGTTGTGCTTGAATTCGGTTGTGGAAAAGTGATGAAGTGGTTGATATTATGAGAATGAAGAGGTGTGTGAGAATGTAAAGAGACATTTTATACAGAAAATTTGCAGTATGTGGAAGAAACTACCACATTCATATAGGAATATATTCTATTCAAATATCGCATAGACATTCAGATAGTTGCGACGATAAACTTGTGGTCATTTGACGCTAGAAGACAGATTTACCAAGAAATTACGCGCACCAAATATTCACACAAATGCTATGATCATATTATTCAGAGAATTTAAATGTTATTGGTGTCTATAAAGTAGCAGCATTTGTTTGTGAATATATCTGATACCTGACGGAGAAGTGTGGATCCAGACTGGAAGTGAATACCCTGTTCCTTTTAAGAGAGGACCTCCATAGCCTTTGTACCTAGTTTGTGATCAGAAAAACTCTTTTTCTCCTCGACCGAAACATTCTTCCAGAGTACCCCCAAACCACAAATGATGAATCTCTCCTTTCTGACTTGACAGGCTTTATCCGACGATCGAGGAAATTATACATCTTAGGACACAACTGAGATTACCCTCCGATTTACTTAGAAGGACAAGTAGAAATATTATTCTAGCGATGGATTTCCCGACAAAAGCCAAGTTTTTACCTCATACCATTTCTCAAGCTATATTTGAATCACCGTCCTTCGAGAGTGATATGTCCATAAGACCGCTAGACCAATCTCTTCTGCACCAGGAGGTTGAGGGGGTCCGCATGCAATAGCTAGAGTAAAAATTAGATATCATAGTCAGAGACACCTTTCGATAACCGTTCTATCCATAGATGACATTTTAGTCATTGCGAATGGAGGTAAGTTGCACGACTCTGCAGAACCTTTGAATAATATTCTTTTCACGCAGAACAAGATATTGGGCCGAGGCTGCGCTTGATGAGGTGGCCTTATCTTGCTTCGTACCATGGGAAATTGAGGGATAAAGTTTTGTAGATTCCGGGTTCATGAAGACCAGCTTGCGCTTCCATTAATGACTTAACTAGCATGGTTTAACTTGGTTTGAGAGGATCCAGGGTCGATGCATATGATCAAAACTTTGAGATGAGAGCGGTTACACTTTTGCATAGATCGAAAAGAGTGATAAGACATGGGAAGTATGGCCTCGAACTTTGTGCGGTTCAGCTAATCTATGGGTCCTGGTCTCTATTATTACTATCTGTATGAATCCACTAGGTTTATATTCTTGCTTTGGGTCTCCATTTAGCATATGGGTGATCCTCCTCTGCGTCCGGAATCAAATGATCTACTGCCCTTGTATTCAACATGCCAGGGTGAACTTGTGAGACGTCCGTAACACCCATCATCCTCATTGTTGTTTCCAGCTCGTCTTTCAGGACTAAATGTTGTTAGTAGATTCATCCAAAGCGCGATAAGTAGACTGTAGGGGTATAACTCACTCTCGATATATTTCTCAACCCCCTCCCGGCCCCAGCCAAGAGCAAAAAGGAAGCCCCTACCAATTCCTACAGCTTTTGCCCCTAAACACAACGCTTTAAAGATATCAGTTCCTCTCATAATTCCACCATCAATGAAAACTTCCATTCCATCGAAAACTTCCGGTGCATTCTTCTGCATTTCTAATAATACTAATATTGAAGCTGGGCTCGTGTCTAAGCTTCTACCACCATGATTACTTATCAAAATTCCATCTATTCCATGGTCTAGCGCCATCTTCGCATCGAGCGAAGTCTGTACACCCTTCAGTAAAATAGGGAGCTTCGTACACCTTCGTAGCCATGCGATATCTGACCATGAAAGCGTAGCATCAATATAGGCACCCATTATTCTTCCCAACGCACCGCCTTTCTTGTCATTTTTAGCTTTTGCACCACTCATCGGAGTAGACAAGCTCTCATCTGCCTTTACTCTTTCATCTGCTTCTCGCTTCCCGGGAACTGGGGCATCAACTGTCACGAATATTGCCTTGACACCAAGAGCTTCAACATTCTGTAAGAGCTTTTCAGATTTATGTCTTTCCTTATCAACGTAAAGTTGAAAGAATATTGGGAGGTCTTTCGGCCCACCTGAAGTTTGCGAATGATTCTCAGAGACAGCCTCGAAAATTTCAGCGATTGGAAAGCTTGCGTTTGTGCTGACGGTCATTGCCGACCCCGCAGATTTCAGCCCGCGAGCCAGTTCCCGTTCTCCTTCTGGATGTACCAGTTTAGCCATAGCTGCGGGTGAGCAAAATATTGGCAAATCCAGTTGATTACCAAGCATTGTAGTCTGTGTACTAACATTTTTCACATTCCTCAAAATCCTAGGGCGAAGACCAATATCCGCATATGTCGAACTATTCCTGCCTTTGGTTATAAGATCTGTAGCAGCGGAAGAATAAAATGCCCATGTTTTCGGCGAAAGAAATGATTCTGCCGCAGTCACAAAGTCGTACGTATTTATCAAATTATCAAGGGAAGGCCTCGAGCCCGGCGCAAGAGCCTTCGAAACTTCAGGTGGAGGTTTGACCCACTCGTCTGTTATGGTACAACGATCAATTGTTCCCAAGACTTTGGAAGCTGGGAGTGAGGAGGATATCAGAGAGGATGCATGAAATTCAGAGTAAGCTTTTGAAGCATCGCGGCCGGCATATTTCAGGATTACTAGATGAAGGATTAGAGTGTGACAATGACCTGGATAGGAGACTTACTACTTGCACCTCCAGGGTGTCCAGGCGCAAATTCTGTTAAATCGTAAACCGTATCATTTACTACAATCCACAAGTCTGAAGGAATATTGTGCTGCGAAATTTCCTTCACTGATATCCTTCGCGCGAGCATCTTGGGATTCAAGGTTGGAACTTATTTTGTCTCGACAATTGGATTGGCCTCAACGAGAATAACAATACAGTAAGGAAAGTAAGGAAAGTAAGGAAAGTAAGAAAAGTAAGGAAATGAGGATGAAAGTATACAAGAAACGGCAATGACTAAATCAACATAATTAGGTATCTGGCTCGATGGAATCAATAGAAGTCGGAATTGTTGCCGCTCTTTTCCATGATGTTATTTACGGAGTATGTGATGATGAAAGTTCGTGGTAATTGGGACCGAGCTCCTCGGTACATTTAATTATTTTTCATTCTGCGACCAAAGCTTGCTTGGTTACTCGAGTAGCACAATTGTATTTGATTGTCAGTAACTGTTGCTTGAAGATCGAAATTGTCTTGATCCTTGTTATGTAGTAGAGACTTTAGAACAATTTTATTTCTCCAGTCTACACTTTGATACCCATTACGTGGTCACGAACGGAATGGAATACTAGGTAGATCAAACGGAAAGGCATCTAATATATATTATTGCTTGATTCTAATTTTTATATTACATTATATTCTTCATGATGAAGGATGAAGTCATCATAGTTTTGATTTCTCTGCAATCATGCCTGCAGAATTTGGAAGGCTCTCGATGCTGTCCCTGTCGATTTGATCCACACTTTGGTATCCAGACACATTCATTAGGATATCAAAGTCGGCTAAGAGAGACTTCATGACATGTCGAACCCCCAATTCACCCTTGATACTTAGTCCCCAAACCCATAATCTCCCGAGGAAAACAAATTTTGCCCCAAGAGCCAGAGCTTTAAACACATCAGCTGCACCACGAATGCCAGAGTCAAACATGATGTATGTCTTATCACCAACAGCTAAAGAGAGGAATTAGTATCAACCTCATCAACTTGAAAATCCACAGCCTGGGTAAGTGTTGGGTATCAATCACATACCATTAACGATTTTCTCCAATGCATCTAAGCTTGCACAAGCTCCATCGACCTGTCTTCCAGCATGGTTAGACACGACTATTCCATCAACACCAAGTTCAACAGCTTTCTTTGCGTCAGCAACATGCTGAATACCCTTCAAGCAAAAGGGTTTGCCTTTGCTAATCTTCTTCCAATGCTCCATGAGCCAAGGCATTTTCTCCCAGGACCAGGCGCGTCCATGCCAAACGTTATCAATCCACATCGCTCCAGCCTCATTTGGTTGCTTCTTTGCATCGATGCCAGCTTCTTCCAATCGTTTCTGGAAAACGGGATCAGATAGTCCCAAATCAGCTCCCTGACCATGGTAAAAAGCGTAATTTGAGTTCACAACATCACGATGTCGCCAAGCTAATTGCGATGTATCCAATGTTAAGATACAGGCGGTAAATCCACTATCATAAGCTCGTCGCAACAAGCTCAACGTTAATTCGTCATCATGTGGCATATATAATTGGAAAAATCGTGGCCCAGCACCATTTGCAGCTCCAACATCTTCAATCGAAGTCGATCCTGCAGTAGATAAACAATATGGCAAATTCAATTCCTTAGCAACCTTAGCTACTGGTAGCTCAGCCAAAGGGTTGTAAATCTTGTTGATTCCTATAGGTGCAAATCCAATAGGTGCGCTAACCTTATGGCCAAAGATCTCAGTTTTCGTATCACGATTGTTTGTATCAACGAGCATTCTAGGTACGATTCGGTGGCGGTAAAAGGCCTGTCGATTCGCGAGATGCGTGTGTGATTGGCCTGCGTTGCAGGAAGCATAGTACCTATGGAAAAAAGTCAGTTTGGTGATGTGCAGGTTTGAAAGAGCTCAACGTACCATCCACCTTTTGTTAAGGTCTCTTTGGCCAGATCCTCAAGGTCTCCTGGATCAGTGCTAAACGGAGGAACCTCTCCGGTGTTATCTTTCCAAAACATCTCTCTCTGATAGAGTGCCCATTGTGGAGAGTCTCTACTTTTGATATTGGGATTTTGGGGATCAGACATGATGAAGGAGCGATATGAGAAGTCAATCGTAGCAAAATCTATAGCAATAGAAAGAAATATACAATTGGATCAAGGACTCCATGATCAAGAAGGAAATTGATACTTAACTTGCATAGATGAGCTCATGTCACATTTGCTTCATAACAAATCTATGATATCATTGTTGATAAGATCATATGTTATTCCAGACGCAGACATTGAAATCTGTAATTTTGATGAACTTTGATGACAAATGATTGTCACGTGCATCGCTCGAGCGAGAATTTCGTGGCTTGCCTGTGGCTGCTCTCCTTCCGAGCACTTAATCATTCACGACCCATCAGCCATCCACAATATGGAGACTCAGGCTTTGTATCAATGAGTCGTCTCGTCGCAAACTTTTACAACATCTTTCTCGGTGTGGACAAAGCAGTCATCCAGGTGGTCTGATGCCTCGGCTCTCTCATGCTCTCCTACACAGAGCTTACAATGTTTCGCCTCTACTACCATTAGTCCTTCGAGAGACACGCAGTCTTCCGTCTGCTATCAATGAATTGCGATGGCTACGCGAATACGTCGATAAGACTACAAGCTGTTACTTGCCTAATCAAAAATGGAGAGTGTTACTGAAACTCTGCCAGAGACGTGCTAGAGGAGAACCTCTGCAGTATATACTTGGCACCCAGCCTTTTGGGGAATTGGAAATCAAATGCCAACCTGGAGTACTTATACCTAGGTAGATCCAATAAAACCCCTTTTCTCTAGCTTATACCTAACGACCAAAAGGCCGGAAACAGAGGCATACACAGCCCACGTGGCAAAACTTCTTATAAAAGCAAAGCCTTTCCTCTACGAAAAATGCGAAAGTCCGCAGGAATCAATGAAGATCATCGACTTTTGCTCCGGGACTGGTTGCATTTCTCTCCTTCTATATTCTCTCTTGACTAATGTATACACTAAACTTGAAATTGTTGGTCTAGATATCTCCCACAAAGCACTTGGTATATCGAATCAAAACATTCTTTTCAATGCTCTCAAAAGTTCTGCGCAGCAAACTGTTAGCTTTGAATATGCTAATGTGCTCGGGGAAAAGCAAAGAATCCTAGACAGATGTCAAGGTGTGTGCGATGTAATTGTATCTAACCCTCCATATATATCAGAAGATGGATTCAAGAAAGAAACGACACGATCCGTGAGAAATTGGGAGCCAAGACTTGCGCTGGTGCCTGATGCATCGAAGCTAGATATCGAATTCTCAGATGGTGATGCTGAGAACATCTATCCAGTGAAAGCGGAGGATATCTTCTATCATCGCTTGCTGCATTTTCATTCCCTTTTAAAATCGAAAATTCTAGTGATGGAGGTGGGAGATGAAGCCCAAGCAAGGAGAGTTGTCAAAATGGCTATGAGCTCTTCAGATAGGATTGAAATATGGAGGGACTGGCCAGACCAACACGAGCCCGGAACCGAAAGAGCAAACTACATGCTCGTTGGCGATCACAATGTAGCAGTCAGAGGCAGTGGTATGGTTAGGGCCGTTGTCTTACTCTCTAATCAGCACTTTAAGTTGTAGCAATGCGGAATACCGTTGATACCATCGTTTTAAAGCTCATCATCATCGCACGGAGAAGGCAAGTAAGATGAGTCACGTTTCAGCATTGATAGTAAACATCAAAGACATTCCTGAAAAAAATCTAGAAGTTCTTTGGATTCATGAAACGATATAAATACCTACCTATTGAGCACCCCTTTTGCATCAGCCGAATCCACCATATCAGCCTTTTCAAGACTTCTAGAAGGCTAGCTAAAAAAAACTAAAAAACTTGAAACAATGCCTTCACAGCTCCGCTGAGTGTGTATACATGCGCAACGATTCCCAAACGCAATATTGGTACCTCAAGGAACAGGCTTCGCTCAAGTGGCTGCCACAATTGCCCACAAGAAATTGTGCGCTTGGGAGATCTCGTGTTTTCCTGGTATGTTTAATTCGAGCTTTACGAAGTCCGAACTTGGCAAGCTGGTAATTTATTTAAAAGAAAACTTCTTTGATTAAACTCCCTGCAGTCCTGTTGGCTTCAGAAAGATGAAGTATTTCTGCCCAATCATTTTATCATAAGTCCCGCTTCATCTGTTGCAAACCATCGAGTCTTTGAAAGGTTTCCTTCCTAAAAGTTCCATGCAAGAAATGTGCTTTCGCCCCTTCAATATAATTTGTTTTCACGTTATTAGTAGCTTATTTTATCTTCCTAGTTTATCATAAAGTAGATATATATTCTTACAATCAATCGTTCGCACTTATCGCACTTCTCCGCCTCTCGGCCGAAAATTGTAGGACAAGGTTCAGGCCAACTGCATTTCAAAGACCCACAAATCCCGGATATGTTAAAACCTTCTTTCCATTGCTGCTGCTATCTCGTCGGAAGGGCACCTTTCAGTAGCTTCCGCCAATCCGTTCCAGACGAGAAGGGCAAACATGACCTGTTATCATTGGCAGGGGAAGCAGCGACATATGCAACTTTTTAAGATAACTCTAAATGTCTGGACTATAGTACCAGAGCACGAACTTCCACGGTGCATGTCTTTTTGGGTTAGGGTATGCTTCCGGCTCAGGTGGACACATCTTTGAGTGGGATATCGTGAGTTTTCTGGGCATCTTCACAGTTCCATGTCTTAATCAACCGCATGCGTACTCAAATTGCAAGTATCAATACATCTCAGCTGACTAGCTTGGTGATGGCGCTACGTGTGGCTTGTTGGGACTTGCACATCCCTCAATGTAAGTAGTTTCTGTCTCTAAGCCAGGGTTTTTCTGATTTCGTGCAGGCACCGCGGCATTCAACGCCACGACATTTGATATCGATAAAGTGGAATCTCATCGTAGTAAAAATTTCATCGTCATTTCAGGGTAGCTGATGCCATGCAGTCTCTTCTTGTGATCCTATCCTTACATCATGCAAATAGTATCTCATTTTTCTAATCTCAATCTTCAATTTCACCTCAAGCGGGCCATCACATTACATTTGTCACGGAGATGGATGTATAGCTTTTAAACGACTTGCTCTCGTAGGGTCCTGTGGTTTCTGGGACCTGGTTTCTTCAAATATCTTGCTGCTGAAAAAAGGTTCTAGACAAGATGGTCTTTCGTGTCCAAAACATGACTTATCCACACAGTCTTCGCGCATTCACCAAAACTTTATTTGCTTCTCCACAGAAGTCTTCTTAGTACTCGCTCACCCCAGACAATATCCTCTATTCCGGCAGTTGAAGCAAAAAATGGAACTACAAACAACCATCCCGTCTCTTCATGCATGCGGCAAGTCTCAGGTCCAGCTCTCCGTCGACTCAAGCACAACTCTTGATTTCCTCCGCTCTCGCGGCACTCTACAATCAACGCTCCTATACGATGCGAATATTTTCGCTTGTTCCCTGCCATGCGATGCGAAATTTCCGTAATTAAAGTTCGATGATGGCAATGCGACGCTCTGGTTGATGCAAGGGATATGGTACAGGATGGCAAGACCGATAGCGGAGGCTGCGCTGCTTGTGGGAGTGATAGGTCTCTGTTTGATTTATTTTACGTCTTGGATCTTGTTTTCCTCTGGAGAATGGGGTTGTTCTCTTCGATTTTGGTGCTTCGCAGTTGAAGTTTAGATATCAGGTTTCTATTAATTCTGTGTTGTTAAGTAGCCTCTTTTCATCAGATGCAAGTGATGTATGCTCGGGCTCGTGACCTTCCGTTACTATTCGAGGATAAGAAAAGAGGTTTTACTTGTGCTTATATTATCTATGAAATGTTACTTTCATTTCTCTGGTTTATTTAATGGCGGTGTTCGTCATTTATAGGTTACCCGTTCTTTTATCAAAGTTCGTGAACAGAAGTCGGATCCAGTCACTTGTCCTGCAAGTCAAAGCAAAACCCTTTGAACCGAATGTTGCTGCGCGCAATTTACGTCCAAGTGGCGTTCTGTAGTCGTAAAGATGCGTGCCAACCTCTTCTTATCATGGCTATAGGGTAGTATAGTCCGTGGAGTAATACTCATGCTGATGGCTGCCGCTCTGAACTTGTGTGTGCCGTCCAAAGAAATTGAACTTTTTGTACTTGATAATCCTCGTCTGAGGTATCCGTCACCTTTACCGTCCTCTTGTTAGCCAGCCAGATTATGGTTGGATTGGTAAGGAAGCATTTTCACCATGCCTGCAAGGTCTAATGCCTACTCGTCGGAACTTGCATTTCATTCTGCATTCGTGCGGCTGAAGCTATTGATTACGCACCTGCAATGCGTAATGACTTTCACTTTGAATTCTCGAGGCATGTAAATCCTAGACTCTAAATATTAAATGATTAGAAAAGCCGGGTAATTATGGATCAGCTACATGATTGTCTCTACCGTACTGTGTTATCCTATGCCTAGCTACATACTGCTACCAGCTTCCACATAAATCGTATATATGTTACTTGGCTGGAAAAAACCTGAGCTTACAAGTTGTGCTTGGTTTTTCTGGTATGTCCCTATGATATCCCCGTCAAATCGACTTCTGTAAGGGGACTGGATATAAGAAGGTGAATCTTTCTTTGTACATCTTTCTCGGGAGCAGACTCTCCCAGTTCTTCGAAAGTGATGTCTATTGTAACATAATCGAGTTAGTACATGTTGGAGTGAAATCACTTGACCATCCTCGAGTAAAAAGGGCTGTAACTTCGAATGAACGGGCCTCGACAGTTTCAATATCATTGCCCCTTCTGCTTCATTTGCCGAAGAGTTCAATAATTGCATGTGCGAGTTCGTTCTTTCCACCTGTTCTGAGTCTTCTTGAAACCGCCACAGTATTCTCATCCATGAATACCTGAAAGAGCTATGGTATGCATTCCTCGGGGCCGGGATTACATTCCTCGCGAGGCACTATGGACGGAAACCCTGCCTTCGAGCGGTTCGGGACGTTTAAATATCGTTGTGGTAGCATCATCAGGAACGGACGCTTAATTAAGCAATCGGTTTGCCGTATCATTTGAAAAATTGCAACCACACCAAATATTTCTCGTCATCAAGGCCGTAACTCAAAGACAAAGGTTGTAGCTACTGTCCAGACTCAGAATCTTGAAGCAGACATATTGGCGCTGATCATTGTTATAATCTGCTCAATCGTTCACCCTAGACCCGCTCGCTCTCAATACGAACACCTTCCAGCTCTCACCCCTTTAAACCACAAAAATTCGTCGATCATCACGTCACCGGCTCACAGAAACCTGCAAAACATTTAATTCTATCAGGGAGACAGAAAAAATGTTCCTAACTATCCCGATTCTGGCGATAGTAACGAGTGCATTTAGCCCCACGCTAGATTGGGTTCAAACAAGAGACAAGCATTGCTTTCCCGTCGCCAGTCCCACATTTCTCGGGCAAGAGCACGTCGCTGATCATGGTTAGCATCCGCCGTGATTGCCCCTGGACCAACATGTACAACATCAGATCATAATGTGCTCAAATGTTTCTATTTATTTATAAAGCAAGATTTTGTTGATGGTTAATTTGAGCCTCATCGGTTCTCGATGCAGGTAATCACTTTCATCCAGGGGCTCCAGCTCTCTCCAAATTTTATCTCGGGAACTCCTCATTAATAATGCCATTATCTAGTTCGCGCTTACATCAATATTTTTAGTCACATTAGGAGCTTTTGAAGAATTCTCTTTTCGCTTCGTTGTTCGCTCCTATCCACCCATCAAGTACTCCATAAGGTGCATGTAAACCCCAAACATAAATCTCTGCATGCTACTGCACCTTACTATGAAGCCAGTACCCAGCTGAAAAGCGGCCCAAAAGAGTCGTGACATCAGGTCACGATTGAGGCTGTATTGCAGTACTATATTTCGAGATCAAAATCAATAGTCCAGTTCAGTTAACTGTAGCTTGGCGGAGCTACATGGTATCGTTGTCTGCATTACAGCCGTACAGCTGGCAGTAGAACGTTGGGGGCGAAAATGCGGGGTAAAGGAGATATGGGGGATGGGTGAGAAAAGGTGATGAGCTGGCTGATAAATATTGTTTGTTACACAAAAACGAGAATTTGCTATGTAAGTGACAGATATAAGTTGTAAGATATGCGGAGAGCTGTTTTGGGGTGGAGATCGGTTGATTAGAAGTACCTAGCACCTGTATCTATGCTCCAGCTGTGCTGTGCGAAAAATACCCTTGAAATGACCTGAACTCAACCGGAAGCAAGATAACTAGATCCGTTGAAGTTCACAGGGACGAGGAGGAAAAAGAGAATTAGGCAACAACATTTTATTATTGCTGGAAGATTGTTGCAACTTTGCAAGATTCAGTGTACAATACGTGCAGATCGATATCGAGATAAAACTAATGCAATCGCTTGAGGATTTCTTCCTCTACGACTTCGGAAAAGGGTTTGTGTTTTGAAGGCGCGGGTAAATGTAGCTGGATGACGGAAATACTGGAAGAACAGGTCGGTGTAGGTACATGAGATATCCGCATCGTGGTCGATACGAAAGATGGCTGGCTTGGGAGAAGTATAAGAATATGTGTTATTTTAACTGCCGCCTGGAGACTGAAGTTAGAATGTGGGAAATTTGCGATGCGAAATGAGGTGTAGTTGAAGAGGGGGAGGGGAGAACCATAGAAAACCTATATTGAAATGAAACAAGTCAAATAGGAAACGGGCATTTGTTTCCGTTGTCGCTATCATTGTTTTTATCACTAAATTATTCTTTTTTTTCCCTCACAATTATACCGTCCCAATTGTTTGGATAATTCGGTAGAGCCCGTACCGAACGGATATGTCGGGCGCCTCGGTTGCCGGCCCCTTCATCTAGGTCGTCAAGACCCAAAATGGGTTAAATTCCATGTGTGTGGGTGGGTTTTTTGTGAAGAAAATGTGATAGACATGCTTGCCAGATGCAGTCATCCGCATTTCTGGACCATGATGGACAAATCACAAGACTTGTTGACTTTCAGCGTTTATGAAAATCAGCGAACTAGTCAGTGGCCGGCATATAAGCGGTTCATTAGCACTCGTCCGAAAGGAGAATGTTGTGCAGGATATTTTCCAATGCTTGGCTTGAAATAAAATGTATGGGCTTTTAGGTATTAAGGTGTGTACTGTGCTGTGCCCTTTTCATATTTGGAACATGCGGATGAGAAACTTTTGAAAGCCACATTTCAGTTTGTTTTTAATCTCGAGATCCCCCACGACTGAGAATATTGGCCCTTGGATATAGGTCGACTCCAGGCCAGGCCTACCACGGTACTGTGATTCGATCTGTTGTACTTCCACGCGCTCCTCGTAACTGACAGATTGGCTGCCTCGTTGTCACACCTTTGATTCAAACCCTCGTTTTTCTTACCTGCAAGACCGTCGAGGACTGCACTAAATCTGCAGGTAAAACCATATCACTCTCTAAAGAATATAATATCGGTCCTTCTGTCCCGGGGTTTCTCGACCAAGCATTTTGTTTTTCGGCATTTAGGATTTCCTTGGATTGATTTCGTTATGAATTACTTAGCTGAGACATTTCGATATATTTTATCGGATCAATTGGATATCATCCTTGAATAAAACCTGGAAGTTTCTGTTACTCTTGTCTAAGGTCCGGGGTAGCAATCCCTCCGTGCCACCCTTGATGAGATGGATTGATGAAATGACGGAGGGACCGATAAAGGAATCAGGCAGGGGATTGACAATGTTAATAATTGCAGACAATATTCAAATACTCAATAAACAGAAAATCAGTAGCCAGTAGCGTAAATAGACATGTGATGATCGACTGTAAAGGTATTTCGTGAATCCAATCTTGGATGGCAAGCACACGTTTTCTCCATGTTCTAAAATACTTCCACAGCATTACAATGAAGCATTGCATTTGCATGTGGAGGAGTAGGAGCGGTGCCATGTTGGATTAGCAGTATGTATGATAGCTTTTTGTGGGTTACAACGTCGAAGCTACGGCACGGGAGCTTTCTTCTGTTGCATCGTGGGATAAGGCTGGGGCAAGGCTATATCCGAAAGTTCAAATTATCAATCTCAAGGGTTAACAAGGTTTCATTCATTAGGTTTTAGGAGTGGGTATAATTTCCGGCGATAGATGTCGTCTGAGGCTTGATTCGGAACTTCAATGATAGCTGAAGACGCTACGCTTGTGTCTTAGCCAGTTCAGCGTCTATCAAGAGCTACGACAGGCATCGGGAGCCTATAATTTAAATCTTCCCAACTCAGACTTCTATTTAACGTTTGAGGCTTTCCACGGCTAGTTGCAGTACATATCTGCAAGCGTTTATTTGACGGGTCTAATGCAAACAAGATATCCGAGAGACTTTCCCAAGTTGTGACCTAGATATCTTCAAAGGATAAAGATGAAGTTTGAGGAACCGCAAACAGAAGCATATGCTACGTTTCTGCTTGACTTGTCCAGGTTACCCCCCGGCAACAATTCCTAGGATACATATGTACCTGTACTGATAGCTACGATCTAGAAGCCGCTCTTAATTTAAGTCGAATGTTGAACAATGTTTAAAAATTCAACAATGCATTTACGATCCTAGTGAACCCTTACCCCCCTGGTAGTCAGTGGATATATCTCGTTAAATTTATCTAACTTGGTATTTGTAAATTTTTTAACCCCTTCATTTTCCGTAGCCCCACAAGTTCTTTCGCAAATCTGTCGCGGGAAGACCAAACCCCAATTCAAAACCCATGGATATATGTAACATTATAATAGGTTAATATTCGGCATAGTGCAGCACGCTATCTAGTATCATCATGCTTAATACCAAGTCAGATATTTGCCAAACAAGCAAATCATGTCTCTGATATAGGTAAGAAATTTATCATGGATTATTCAAATAATTATCTTGCTCAGGTTAATCAGGCTATTTTCCCGGATATGTAGTAACACATTATCATCCTTCATTCTTGATGCACCTCGCACCGTCAGAATTTTATCGCCGGGTTCGTATTCACATCCGCCGCCGCAGCAAGCGAAAATCTCACGCAAAAACACCAAGTAGAGAAACATTTTCAGAGATGTGAAGCTAAACCTTAGCATTATTTAGAACGCCCTAGGATCATGTTCAAATCTACTTGCCGAATTATGAATCTTCTAGGCCGTATCCTGATCTCGGACCATAGCTGACAGACCTAGCTGTTAGTCGTCAGAAGATCATCAAGGGTGCTGTCTAGGGCCCTGGAAATATAAGCCATACTGGTTGGTGCTGAATAAGACCTTACAAGAGACCTAATGTTGCGTTAGCTCTTTAGATGCAGGAAAAAGAAGACATTACAAGTGTGATTATGGAAAGCTTCCGCAAACCAAAATATAAGACGAAATGACATCGGGAAATATGTAGGTACTTGGGGCGCTTGGGGGCCTGGGATACTTTTCTGATTGTAAGTGCTTGTGGGATGGTTGCCGGCCGGATTTATTGACAGGTCAGGGGCACCCGTTGGTCATGGCTATTCACCTCATGGAAGCTATACTCCTTTCGATATGCCTGTCAGCGGATTCGATCCTCTTTTGGATGATGACCGTGAGGCGGTACACGGTTCCCCCCTTGAACTATACATCGATTACAGATTTTACCCTTGCCCTTCAACGTCTTTTTTCGATATTCCCTTTGAAGATCTCCAATTCGCCATGATTTCCGGTTTTAGGCACTGAGGGAAGGGAGCATACAAGTCTTCCCAATAGGATCAATCTAGTCCTTATTTTCATACACTATCACTAATGCAGATCACGCGCCAGCCACTTCTACTCATTCAAGATAGTATATGCCATGGGGTACTCATATTCATCACACTTTCGAAGAGGGGAACGGAACACAAATGGGGCCAAAGCAGTTACCCACCTGCCCACTGGACAAGAGATTCGGAAAGGACGTTGGACCCATCATGAGGCTTGCTTGCATCCCGCACTTAAGTCTCGTCCTTAGACCCCTTTGGTAGACCTTGTCCAGATTCACGAATAAGAGCTTAGCTCCCCGACCTGGCATAAGCTTGTGCTCCGGCCTTCATCTTCCCTTTCATCCCATAATACATCACGCTCAACACTCCATGAAGAATCACTCTTATGGATAAATGTTTAGGTTTTTAATCTTCAATCATTAATCAACCAATAATCGAAATCCCTTTCAGAAGGATATACTTCAATGTCCATAACACAAACAACAACGATGGCAGCCATAAAGCCAGAAGATTCAGATCATTCAATTTGGCAAGGCTACGCTCTTCAACCACCTCATACTTCTCATCAAACAACCTTCGAATCTAATTTTCCTTCTGGTCCTCTGGCATTGCCATACCATGCAAGACAGAAGGGGGGTTACCGATCGATGGATATCCCCGCAATCAACACAAGACCTCCTCACAGGGAAGGGAATGGAGTGTTGACTACTTCACCACCACTAAATCCTCATCATAGTTATCCTTCCCTCAAACGACCATTTCATTCTGCAGAAGATTCGCCATATGGCGAAGTAGTGCAAGACTTCCGAGAAGATTTGTCCGAACATCCAAAACCGAACATCAGTCAAGACCATAGACTACTTTCCTTCAGCAAACGATCACCAAAGCATACCATCGTAGACCAACACGGAAGAATACAACAGTTAGATGTCTCAGCGCAAATCCATGGAATGTTCTTCTTGTCCGAAATGACAACCCCCACGGGGGAAGGAGTGATTGTCCAGCCGGAGTTGACCTGTTACCGTAGGAACCTGTTCCAAATTTCCGGATCTGTCACCACACCCCGAGGCGCTTTGTCGGTGATTACGGAGCGCGGAGAACGCATTCCAATTATATCCTTGGAAGTAACCATTAGTGCCACCGAATCAGTTGATGGCCACTCTGTCAAACTGATTGTTATCCCATGGAAAACGCCTCCACCAAACTCTCCCGAAGTAACACCTGGCCAGGAGCAGGAGCCTTCACCTATTCCTCTCCTTTCATTTGATGATGGAGCTCCTGATACGAACAATGAGTTCGCTGTTTACCCAATCGCCTACAGAAGACTTCAGTTCAGGATCGCGACGGCGAACAATGGTCGAAGACGAGAGCTTCAACAACATTTTACCCTACATTTGAATGTTGTAGGAACCTTGGGAAACAATACGAAGATCAATGTTTGCGAGACGGCGACAGCGCCCATTGTGGTCCGCGGCCGAAGCCCAAGGAACTTTCAAGCAAGGAAGGAAATAGCGCTTGTCGGATCTTCAGCTTCTCGAGGCCAGGCACCAGAAATGCAAATTGCAAATGGCAGCACACCTGCCAGTGCTACCATGAAATCAAAATTGGCGAAACCTCACACGCTTGAATTACCTCGATCGCCATTCAACTTCGACGCAAGTAATCTTCCTATATCCCCACATTTGATGAGACAGCAGTAAGTTCTTCCTCCCATCATTTCTCCAACCAAAATCTTGATTTGACGTGAAATCAAACCGACGGTCGACACTCTTTCCAACTTTGTAACCTCCACCTTTGTCGTAAGCTGACATGATCAAATTAGGACCTTACCATCATGGTATGCTTCGCCACATGCATCAGAACATACCACAGGACCATCAACTCCGAGCTATCAAGGACCGCCGCCGTCGTTGTCAATGGATAATTATCTTCAGGGAAACCATTCCACTTCAGAGAATCCCCAGACACATTCTCCGGCTTCTACAATGCCAGCGCCAGCACCCCCAGTACGATCGTATACATACCAAAGTACAACTTCACCCAGTGGCGCCCCCATTCGATTCATAGATAGCAATCCACGACCCGCGAAATCACCTCGTCATCAAGCACCCCCTGAGCTGAATTCATCTTTCTCCTCCGACTTCACGGCTCGGTTTACCGCTCCTGCTCCCTACAGCTCCACCAGCGAGGCTGCCGCACAACCAAGAGAATACTTCCCAACCTCTATGTCTATGCAGCCATGGACCACCGCCCAGGACACCGCATCTACATATGGAACCACGTTGCCCGCAGTCACTAGTTCTCATTATGAGTACCCTGGAGATCAGCATTATGTGAAAGACGAAGGTCACTCTCTGCCACCACCACAGCATCAACAGCCCAGTCAGCAACACTACACTTGGAGCGCCGCATAGACTTTGTTAAAGCATTAAAGTTAAGACCATGATGATAGAATCAGAATTTCAGCAAGATATCGATCCTGCTCAGACAGACTCAACAGACATCAGACATCAGACTTATAATCTAGAAATTCATGCATGACTATCAGATCCATTACGAAAAGATTTCCTCCGATTTACACAGCGCGATAATTATTTCCTTGTATCTTAGCGCCATATCGAATGTTTTATTTGTATAATTCTGCACTTGAGTCAGTATTCAAAGGATTTAAAGCACAGCTTCTTGTTTATGCGTGCTACCTCGGGATGGAAGGGAACGAGGCAATGGATTAGGATGATACGGAGTAAATACATTATAGTATTTCGAATTCGCAACGAACTTAAAATTCAGCGCAAGGCATCATATCATGGCGAGCGATGGCGTAGGAAAAAGGATGGGAAAGTTTAGGTCTCTTTTATCATATTATTCTTTGATATTTCTTTTATACAGCAGGACATATGGGATGAATGAATTGGACGATGTCAGATATATGGATGGAACAACGGGTGTACTTTTATAAACACATATTATGACCAGAGTTTGATACCCTCATTAATCTTTTTTTTAATATTCGGTCAAAATGAAATAATAAGATTGCATTGGGTTCATTTTTTCAAATTATTCAATTTAATAGAGTATAACGGTATCTTTTTTTTTTATCAAATTCATTCTTTCTTGGCTTTGTGATGCATCATTTTTTATGTGAGTGATTGAGTGAGTGGGTGAGTGAAGTCTACATTAAAAAAGATCCACGGGCCAGCCCGTTGCGCAATTGGTCACTCATGGCCCCTGCATAGACTCAATTTCAACCCCCCACAAAAATATATCGAAGAGCTTCAATGCAGATCTCGAACTACCTAACAGTAAATTCACAACATCACAGCAATTATCATGTTTGACCTCCCAGACGCAAAGCGGTGAGCGCGTTTCCGTTCTATGATAGCTAATACTAGACAATGCTAGACAATGCTAGACAATGCTAAATTTCATGTCTGCTAACACACTCTTGACAGTGTGCGCCGTTCAGATCTCTACACTGAATCGTCAACATCTTCTCCCGAACCATCTTCCCCAACCGACCCGGATGCGTCTGCCCGATTTCAAGAGCAGCTTGCTTCATTATACGGGACTATTTTACCTCAGCCGTATGCTATCGAGAGCGCGCTAAGGTCTGAACTTACTAATGACGCGCCACATTCACCACGACCAGATGATGACCAAGACCAAGAAGAGGAATTTGACTTCCGTCTTTTCTCCAATGACAAAGAAGGCAAGATAATTCTCAAGGATGAGGTAGCCGATGAAGGAGTCTTTACTGTCAAGGAAAGAAATCAAAGTTACTATTTCACTGGTCCAATTGAGGGGAAAAGGAAAGAAGAATACACCATTTCGGCAGTCAGTGGAGAAAATATTTTACGAGGCAGAGATCAGAGATACTGGGGATGGGAAGTTCCATGGAGAGTCAAGGTATTGAAAGTTGGTATTGACGGGCAAAAAATGGTGGGAGATAACGGGCTCGGAATCAGCAATAATTCCAATGGGGCAAAGAAGAGAAAGCTAGGCAAAAAGATGAGAATTACAGTGAGAGAAAGGAGACGGAAAATTCAGGTTCAAGAAGAGGCGATGACGAAGGAGAAAGAAACTAGAGAGGAAGCGGAACGAGAAAGGAGAACTAGGAAGAATAGGGAGAAGAAAGTTAAAAGAAAGGCGAAGGAGAAAGCGTTGAAAGCTGCCGCCGGAGGAATTGACCAGACTGGGCCCGGAGTTGACGGAGAGAGTGACTGAAGACGGGAGGGATGGTTCTGCCCACATTCGGATCGATCTTTACGATGGGAGAACTCCAAAATCCTTTAATCTGCGATCCGTAACCCCACTTGAACTTCCGATAATCTTCAATTCTCCCATATTCATCTACGAAGGACGATAACACGCCCCAAAGAATCCCTTGCTTAAATGCAACCATAATTTAAAATCCCCCACGCTACAAATTGTTTGTCGCATTTCTCACCCACAATACAGACGGGGAGGGCGCACACTATCCAACACAACGAAACAACTTTTCCTCGTGGTTTCCAGGATTCAGCATCAAAGTTATGCATTTGGCATACCACAATGGTGATATCTGTACGACATGACCGTCCCCTCCCGTGCTAAGGAGGAGGCTTGAAGCCTTGATCACAGCCTTAATCCTTTAGTCACATCTACGAGAACGTGAAATACGCTTAGATCACTCACGAAATTACATACTCTCTTCCTTTCACTTCCAAGGATTCGAAGGATCGAATAACGTGGAAAGAAGGATTTCTCACCCACACCATTATCTCTCCAATTCAAAGACAAGCAAATTTTCAAATTCTTCATTGTAGCCATTCGACAGTCCTTGCCGCGCTGCGCCGTGCCTTTGCGCCTTCGCACATTTTGGAGTTATTATGTCCGCCGGCTTGCTTGTATGACAAATGGAATATTCCATGCGATCTCATTCCCTACCGCGATTGGATCTGGAATTCCACACCTGCCGTAATCAATCAATTATACATATATCTACCCGGCATGCATAGGTAACCTTGGCCTTTTCTACGAGTAAGGTACTAGGTACATAATATTCTAGCTTACCCGCTCCACCCCCGCTGTTACGTTGCCAAGCTGTGCCTCATCGTACGCGAACAATCTACATGGTAATGATTGTGATTAAGGTTAATCTTCGTCTATTAAAAACTTACAGTAGTATATTTGTAAGGAAGCTGTTGCTAAGGAAGTGTAAGTCAAGGAAAATCATCAATCCTGGATTAATCCACATAGGTACGTACAGTAGTGGCGCGATTTCGCGGTACGGGATCGGAGAGTATTTCTCCTTTGGGTAATTTTCTTGTATCGGGACAATTCCTGTGGATAAAGCGGAGAAATACCTTTCGGCCTAGGTAGGTTAAAGTGTTTCTTCTTTGCCGGGCGTAATTTAGGATCTTTATTACCGAACTCGCATTCAGATATTTTATTTTGTTTCTCCATAGTAGCTGGAAGGATATTTGACGGACTGGTGGACACAGGGATGAGAATGATGGTGACATGAAGTGGATTTCAGCAGTCCAGCAGTCCAAAAGTCGAGTTTTGTTACGCTAGTGTGTATTGGGTTACAGGATGTTAGGATGATATAATATCCAACATCTAAGTTCCTAAATAGTTGCTTACTTGGAGAATAAGTAAGTAATATTCTATGCTTATTTGACACAAACAACCAGTTGGATTTTTGTGAGCCCTGCTCGAGCTAGCTAGTGGTGCTATAGGCTCGCTAGTCTATTTTTTAAGCGATTACTTTCTGCAAACAGGCCCGAGAGTCATCACATACATACGCTGTCTAGCGGATGGATGGATAAGTCCGAGGCTCATAAGGATAGCCTAGATGTGTATGCACCATTGAAGCTTGGTTTGAAGATTCAAGATGCTAGGTGGAGCTTTTGAAGATTGACATACTAGGTGGGGCAGAGCTCGGGTCATCTTTTTTAACTTTCTTGATACTTTCAAATTTGGAGGCTTTTTATTGGTCAGGTTTTGCGGGATATCTGGTAGTGTGACGGTGTGGGGGGATGGAGATGACGGGAGTAGATTATTAAGACAAGTTTTATGGATTTAACTTTCGGTCTCTGAGGATTAAAGATTGGAAATCGATAGGAAAATCCGATTTTTAAGTTTCAACAACGTTAAGTTGCGGGTAGGGTATCGAGATTGACATTGTCATCTGATTTCACTTTTCCTCCATTCGTCCACTTGTTCATCTAATTACCTTTCCAGTTACGTATAACATATTCCATCTAAAATGATCCATATTTTTTTGACTTTGACGTTGATAAGGCTAGGATTACATAAAATCTCGTTCCTTGGATCTCGTTCTGCGAACCCCTTGTTTTTTGTGCTAGTCGTTAGTTTAGTTTTGCTAGGTAGATTACGATGTATATTATTAGATGCTAATTTAGTAGTTTGCTTGTTTCAGGTTTTGCTTTTGCTCGTTTATTAAATAGTTTAGTAATTTATGGATTAGTGATTCATTGGTTTATTGGTTTATGCGTACTGTACTCGGTATATTAGTTTTGGGTTTCTTGGTTTGCTTGTTTAGTTTGTTGGTTTGTTAGTTTGTTGTTTTGGTTTTTTTTATATATGGAGTAAGCACTTGGTGAGATGAGATGAGATGGGGTGTAATGGTTTTTGATGCATGAGGTGAGATAGGATTCGGAAATTTGTTGGTTGGTGGTTGAGGGTTCATGGTTCATGGTTGATGGTGGTTTGTTTTTAGATGCTGGTTTAGGGGTGGGATGGGAAGGAGGGATGTGAAGTGGACAGGTTGAAGGAGTGATGGGGAATGGAGGGATGCGAAAGGGAGGGATGTGGAGTGGACAGGTTGAAGGAGGATGTGAAGGGGAGGGATGTGGATTGGAAGGGAAGGGGAGGGCAAGAGTGGAAAGAGGTAACGTAACAGGTGGGTAGGTGCTAGGAGGATGAAGAGATAGGGGGATAGGAAGACAGGAAGATAGAGTTGGTGGAGAAAGAGATAGGACGATAGGAAGAAAGAACTAGTAGATAAAAATACAACAAGAAAGGGAGAAGATATCAGCGATGAAGAAAGATGAGGAGGACATAGTAGGGGAATTGATATAGGGACTATAAGATGATAAGGAAGGTGTTAGTTCATCATCATAGTTACTAGTTGGCACCTTGAAGGATATACTGGTAGGTTGTAAGTGCTTATTTGTTATATATAGAAGCGGCTTAAATCTTAAAGGGATCTAGTTTTTGGATAGTATTAGTTGCTGTTATCTGATATGATATATATATATACATATAAGTTGAAGTACGATTCCTAACACCGGGTTTCTGGTAGAACGGTTTATGTTATTTATTATTCTTTTCAGGTGTTTTCGTTTTATTACTGTTGTCTTCTTATAAGTGGATGTATAGGTTTATTTTGATAATAGATAAGAATTATCATAATAAATATATATTACAGGGCTTTCATTTCAGTCTTTATCACTTCAAGATATAAAGGAATAAGATTTTTTATTTCCTAATTAATCTATATTTAAAAAGATATAACTCAATAAAATTAGGTCTATATAAACTAGTAATTTGTAGAGTTAAATTGTGACCAAAAGGGTGTTTATAGACCAGCAATTGTATTTAACTTAGAATCTACAGGTGAAGAGCACCTGTAGATGGGGATAGCTACTCTATATACACACAAATGAATGGCCTAGCCGCAATGGCTAGGCAAAAAGAAGTCATATTTATTCCTCCAATGATCTTACTTTACCGATAACCATTGATACCTAGTACTTGTCAGGATCTGATCCTCAGGTCACCTAAATCGCATACTAATCTCGAGTAATCGTATCATGTGTGGACATGGTTAATGTACCTGAGGTTTCTTATATAATAAGGGTGGGAGGAAAGCAGGGATTTCCGTCACATAAATGTTATAATATATGAGATCTAGTTATAATACCCCTAGCTGTGAAAACCGAGGAGAATTATCTGGCTTGTAATATAATAAAGAGTAATCTGTGAGGCTGGAAAAGCTTCCATCAAAATGGAGTACAAAAGAGAGTACAATTTGATGATGGACTGGAGTGGGAGAAAAGCGATGCTGGAGAAGGGGGATGGTGGATGAGTGTAACGATACTGTACTGGAGGCAGCGGCTGCCTAAGGTTTCGTCTGGTTGGTAGTTGTAGGTTAAGGCTTTATCACTGGTATTCACTTGGAAGTGAATTCGTTACTAGATCAAATAGAATGTAGGTAAACTAATTGATAACTAAGTTGAGCACGAAGCTCCTAAACTATGAAACTACTCTGACTATATAATGATCGATAAAGGGAGCCCCCAGGAGCTTTGAGGGCTCCTTATCACGTGATTCCTTTTAGATCCCAGGACACTAATCCTAATGGCAAATCGTGACAATGAGGTTGCAGGGAGGGGGAGGGAGGAAGGAGGAAAAAGGGAGGAAGGGGGAGGAGTAGATTATAGGTTTTATAATTAGTTGGGACGGGTAGTATAGAGTTGATTAGTTTAGGTTTTTGTGATCTTTTGATGTTTTTTCTTTGAAAGCGCCATGTATATGTTTTAAAAATATATCAAATTTTTTAATTAAGATTTTTAAATATATTTATTTGAGTATATTTATTTGAGTATAATTTCATTTTTTACTATAAATAGAAATAAAAAAAACTAATAGATTAAAACTATATAATATGTTAAAAGGAATGACCTCACACAGGGAATAGTGGGAAGCTGATAGGGCAGAGCTGAGGTAATATTGGTCTGGTAGGTTAATCTCTCTTCTAAGTTCTACGGAAGTGCGAAGCTCTCTTACAGAGAGCTTCTCAATCTAGTCCTAATAGGACTGTAACGATACTATACTGGAGGCAGCGGCTGCCTAAGGTTTCGTCTGGTTGGTAGTTGTGGGTTAAGGCTTTATCACTGGTCTTCACTTGGAAGTGAAGTCGTTACTAGATCAAGTAGAATGTAGGTAAACTAATTGATAACTAAGTTGAGCACAAATCTCCTTAACTACGAGACTAAATGAATGTTTATATACCCTATATCATCTTTTGAGGACCTTTGGGACCCTAAGGTCCAAAAGGTCCTCGAGGTCACGTGAATTAATGAATCGTGACAGATGTGTCACACTCAAGAATACTGGGTAAAGTATCTTGTATTAGAAAATACTAAGCTAAGGAGAAAAGAAGAAGGAAAACAAGAGTAGAGAGTTTTCCTGTGATTAAATACAAACGGGGCATGCCACGTGACCCGGAGGTGTGAGGCGTCACAGGATGTTGGAGTAGGATGTTGGAGTAGTATGTTGGAGTAGGATATTGAAATAGGATATTGAAGTTAGAATTGGAGTTGGAATTGGAGTTGCGGGTGGAGTTTTATGAGAAGATGATATGGATGAGATGGATATTATAAGAAGTGAGGAAGTAAGAATATAACAAAAAAGCAAAACAGAATAAAAAGATGAAATAAGATTCAAAAACCTGATGGTTAGATGTAGCATAGACAGCATAGACAGGATAAATAATATAGTTTATATATATATCTGTTAAACGAATATAAAAACGCATTATACAATTAAATATCAATATTAAAGATTTATTATTCCTGTTTTTCCTCTCGAGATCTTCATCTCTTTCTATCTCATATTTATGTATCTATCAAACAATCATTCATTTAATCATTCATCCATTGATCCATGATCTATTCATCCATGATCCATCTTCATCACCAATTCTATCAAAGGAAATCAACACTACTACTCGAGTACTCATGCATTCCTTACACAAAACACGCAAACAATCACGAAGAATTTCGTTGCCAAAACTTCCAACTACTCCTCCCACTCCCACTACTACTCCTCTCTCTCTTAATAACTTGATCTCGTCCACGAATCCGCCAATAATATATCGGAACACCAGCCAGTACGAAAGCGATAACAATGACAGTTTGAAGAGGTTCTGCGAAAACTGCTCTGCTGAGGAGAAAGAGACTCACGCAGCAGAAGATGATAGGAGTAGTGATCCAAGTTTTATATGGGCGTTCGAGATTAGGTTCGCGGACGCGAAGGACGATTAATCCTAGGACTGTGAAGAAGTAGAATGTATATCCGGCAACTCCGTAAAAGGTTACTAGAGTACCGAATTCACCGACGGCGACATAGATGGCTGTTAAGAGTGCGTTGAGGATCATGGCATTAACGGGTGTAAAGAATAGACCAGTGTCTTCATCGCCGAATAATCTAGCTAATTTCTTTGATGCCCAGTTGCGTGTTCGAAGTGTGTTGGCTGATGGCTCTGTTTGGTTCCCGAAACCAATCTTGCCAAACATGGCAGGTAAATATCCTTCTTTACTAGCTGCGTAAACTAGTCGCCCGCTAGTGAAGGCCGTCGCATTTAGAGCTCCAAAACAGCTTGCACTGACAATGAGAGCAAGTATTAATGATCCAATAGGACCAAATACCTTGTTTCCAAATATGACTGCAACTGTATTTGAAGAGTTGATAGCTTTCTGAGGTAAGACGAAGAAATAGGCGACATTAGCGAGAATATAGGAGAGGATAACCAATGGCATCGCTGTATGAATGACCCTTGGCAGGTCCCGAGTAGGATTCCGGAACTCTCCAACAACATAATTTGTCTACTAAAGTCAATGAAAATTCTGCTCCAAAAACGTTGGAAGACTTACATTATCCCAACCATCAAAGGCCCATAATCCAGCATATAGTGCCACAGCCCATGATGAAGCGCTACTACTAGTTCCCTCGAACCATCCATGATTCTTCCAATCCTCATTTGCTTCGCCTGACGTAGAGAAGCCAGTCAGGGCTACTACAACACCAATGACCGTAACTCCAAGCAATGCAATAAACTTCATAAACATAAACATATCCCCCATTCTCGTGCCCAACTTTGTAGATATACAATTCAAAAAAGTGATGAAAAACAATCCAATCAATGCCACGCTCTTATTAATCCAAACATTCACACTCTCAGCCTCCGCTCCAATGAATGCCCGTACCAAATATTCCCCCATGATTATTGATACAATGGCAGTAGATCCAGGCTTTAAAACGATGACCGCACACCATGTAAACAAAAAACCAAAAATCTCCCCAAATATCTTGGAGAGATATATTTGTGCACCACCATTCAACGGTATTGCTCCTCCCAGCTCCGCATAACTCGAAGCTCCTGTCCATGCTAATATTCCTGCTATCGCCCATATCACTAATGATGCGCCTGGTGAACCCGCATTCGCATTGACCTGACTCGGCGAGGAGAAGATCCCTGACCCTATTATCAAGCCAACTATCAACGATAACCCATTCAGATATGTCAAAGTCTTGTGCTTCTCCAACGAACCCCCTCCTAAGGCGGCCTGACCATTTGATGTAGATATAGGGGCTCCAATAGGCGCATAACCTCCTGCGGTGGAAGATAGAGGGAAAAGGTTGGAGGAGAAGTCAAAGGCGGATGAGACGGAATATGTTCTACTATGTCCTCCGGGACGACCATTCGCGGCAGGATTTCGATCATCTAAAGGATCGTCTTCTTCGAGGGATAACTTTCGCGAGGAGGATATGCCGGCACTCGAGGAAGCTGAATCTGTTGATGATCTCGCGCCTGGAGAACTCGAAGCTAAACTAGCCAATTCTAAAGAATCGCGCGCATGAGGCTGTAAGTTTTGATAATTTGGTGACATTATAATTGTTCGTGAAATTCGTTCAATGCCAGCATCGCATGCTTTTGTAGATTCAAAGGGAGGAATCAATGGTAGCTGGTTTGTTTTTGGATCTCGTTTATCGCAATGCTTGAACCATTATCGGTCGTGCAACTTTAGTAGGTATCACAATATCCTTTGTAGCTTGGAGATGGTAAGGAAAGGAAGTATCAATATTTACTCGAATGGAAGAAGAATCAAGAGAGAGTGTAAGGTTTAAAGTGCAATGTTTAATGTTTGATGTTCAATGTTCAGTAAAACGGAGAAGGTGGACAATGAATGATATATTTTTGGAGTACAAAAGAAGAATCTAGTCGTTGCCTTTGTAAGGGATTTTGAAGTCTTGGCGGGAATTGTAAGTCTGGATTAGCAGTTTCTTACTGCAGCTGTGCGTGCTTCTCTTTCCCCTTCCCATTCTCTTCTCCTTCTCCTTCTCCTTGTTTTAGGGCGTTTTGATGATCTGGTGCTTTGATACGGAGTAGAACAGTTACGAGTTGCTAGTTCCTCATTACTCGTACTCCTGAAGTTGCCGTTGGTGAAGAAGTATGGGCTGGTGGGCCTGGATGGATGTAAGATCTACATTCAAGTCCGTGCTCAAAATTTCACATTCGTGGTTTGCCAGCAGCTCCAGCTATTCTATTATTTATTTAATCATCTATTTTTGTAACTACTTTCTTTTTGAAGCTATTCATAGTTACCCCTCACATCTACAAACACGCAATCCAGTGAAGCTCACGGGTCGATCTATACATCTGCGAATCCAGTAACGGACTGGTCGAATATACCTTGAAGAATTGTCTCCGGTCATGACATAATGCCTCGAAAATCATGCACTTCACTATCCGCAGATGCGCATTACCTCAAGAGAGTTTAATTCGACCTCTCTTTTATTGCAATCGAAATTACCTCGTCGCTGGCTTCCAAAATGTCAAGCCGATTTCATTTACTCGATACGCTTCTACCGCTTCTACTGATAACTCTTCTCAAACTTTAGATTTGCCCTCTTTGGATCAAAAATGGCGGACGAAATGGACATCTGCAAAGAAAGGAAAGACCTCGGAAAAGGATAATGGACACGATCATGGCGAGAAGATGTACATATTACCTATGTTTCCATATCCATCTGGAGATCTTCATTTGGGTCACTTTCGAGCATACACAATTTCCGATGTACTCGCGCGATTCCACACGATGAAAGGCTACAACGTTGTTCATCCCATAGGTTGGGATGCTTTTGGCTTGCCCGCTGAAAATGCAGCAATTGAACGTGGAATAGACCCCGCGGTCTGGACAAAACAAAATATACAAAAGATGAAGAACCAGCTAGTTACTTGGAATGGTCGCTGGGATTGGGATAGGGCACGTCTACGAAAGTAATTATGACTTGGTAGCTAATAGGAATTAGGAAATTACAACTTGCGATCCCAATTTTTACAAACATACCCAGGATATATTTCTTCTCCTCCATGAACATGGTCTGGCATATCAGGCAGAATCTTTGGTGAATTATGATCCTGTGGATAAGACTGTTCTCGCAAATGAACAGGTTGATGCAAATGGCCATTCTTGGCGATCTGGAGCTAAAGTAGAGAAGAGACTATTAAAACAGTGGTTTCTACGAATATCTGAATTTCGAGATCAATTGCTGGAAGATATTAATCATTTAGCTGAGGGGGGTATGTGGCCGGAAAGAGTTCTAGCTATGCAAAAGAATTGGCTGGGAAAATCACAAGGAGCTCGAATTAAATTTTCTGTATCAGCAGGTAATGATAGTGCTCAACAGTCTGTTGAGGTCTTCACAACCCGACCAGATACTATATATGGTGTTCAGTATATTGCTCTTGCAGCAACGCATCCTATCGTTCAAGATCTTGCGAGAGAAGATCCAAAACTGCGAGAATTCTTGGAAGGGATATCAGATCTTCCACCTGATTCAAAGGTTGGCTACCTTCTTCCGTCTGTTCGTGCCAGTAATCCGTTATCATCCCAAAAATCTACACCAGAAGCCTCTAAGGCTCCTTTACCAATTTATGTTGCGCCATATGTGTTAGGTGATTATGGTGATGGGGCAGTCATGGGAGTGCCTGCGCATGATAGCCGAGATTTTGCATTCTGGAAGCACAACACTCATGATATTCCACCCAGACATGTTATTGAACCTATAGGAGGTGCTTCTAAAGCTGTTTCCGGAGACCAGCCTTTTGTTCATCCTGGCCGTCTTACATCACAAAATCCAGGATCATTTTCTGGACAGACAACAGCTCAAGCAACCAAGGGTATCATAGAGCTACTCGCAAGTCAAGGTCTTGGATCAACTGCTGAGACATGGCGTCTCAGAGATTGGCTTATCAGTCGACAAAGATACTGGGGTACTCCTATTCCAATAATTCATTGTGATAGTTGTGGTCCAGTTCCTGTTCCTAAAGATCAGCTTCCAGTTGAGCTTCCATCTGTTGAAGGCCACTGGCTGAAAGGTAAAGCTGGTAATCCTCTTGGTGATGCTCAAGACTGGGTTAATGTATCATGTCCCAAATGTGGCGGAGATGCTAAAAGAGATACTGATACCATGGATACCTTTGTTGATTCTAGTTGGTATTTTATGAGGTTTGCTGATCCCAAAAATTCGACGAGACCATTTTCTTCAGAAGCAGCCAATGGAATACTCCCTGTTGATGTATATATTGGAGGAGTTGAACACGCTATTTTACATCTATTGTATGCTCGTTTCATATCGAAGTTTCTATCCAAAACCTTGGAGTGGCCTGGAGGGTCGAATAATAATATCCGTGGTGAGCCTTTCAAAAAGCTTTTAAGTCAGGGGATGGTCCATGGAAAGACTTATTTAGATCCTACCAATGGTCGATTTTTGAAGCCGGATGAAGTGGATCTCACCATATCATCGAAACCGATTGTTATTGCAACGGGAGAAGTGGCGAACATCAGTTTTGAGAAGATGTCAAAATCGAAATATAACGGTGTCGACCCAGCAACATGTATGACAAAATATGGCGCTGATGCTACAAGAGCCCATATGCTTTTCCAAGCACCAGTGACTGAGGTACTTGAATGGGATGAACAAAAAATCTCCGGCATTACCCGTTGGTTAAAACGTCTTCATGAGTATACATGTGCAGGTACAGGACCGCCTCAGAAGATAAAAGATGGCAATTTATCTCCAAAAGAATATCTCCTTTCTGGAATAGATATTTTAGAAAGTATCACAAAACGTCTTACTGAGAGGCCAATACTTTCAGCAGGACCCGTGGAAGCAATGCCTTTGGATTCCATCATTGAATCCATCCAAGCCGACATGAAGCTTTGGCGAGCCGTCCAAAAAACTATCACAAGTGTCACGGAAGCTTACAGTAAAACACACTCACTCAATACAATAGTCTCCGATTTAATGAGTCTCACCAACCTCATTATCGAAACCAGCAAGAAAAACGAGATCGCCTATGATGATCTGAGTAGATTACACATCAACGATAGGAGATTCGCACGTCAAAAACGCTTAGAACCAAACATCTTCACCATCCCCCGAGCAGCAACTAAATCCCTTCTTCAAATGATGGCACCCATCACCCCCGCTTTCGCAGAAGAATGCTGGTCCATCCTATCTAATTCCCAAACACAAGAAAAAGGAAAAGAAACCACACAATTTAAATCCATCTTTGAAACTTTCTTCCCGCAACTAGATGACTCTCTTCGTTTCTTGGCTCCATCTTATCAGAAATGTGCAGTGCAGGTTAATGGGAAATTGAAATTCGCAATGGAGTTACCGATTCCTGGAAAGGAATTGCAGGGTGAGGAATTGAACAGTTGGGTCGTGCAAAAGGTGGCGCGGTCTGAGGAGGGAATCAGGAGATTTGGTTTCTGGGGGGATATGATGTATGGTGGGAAGAGGGTGCAGAGGGTGGTGGTTGTGGGGAGGGGGAAGACGGTTAATTTTGTGGTTTAGGTGGTTTGGGTTTGGGGATGGGGATGGGGATGGGGATGGGGGGTGGGAGATGAGGTGAATGAGATGAATAGAAATACCCCGCTCTGATTTGTTGTTGTTGATGATGGTGGTGATGTTTAGATATACGGATTTTATGATATGATATGATATGATATGATAAAATAGATTAAAATCAAAACTCCTCTCTGAATAAACTTATACAAGGTTACATTACAAAATAAACTATAATTCATACAATACACACTCAAGTAACAAGTAACAAATACCAAGCACAATAGTTTCATACACTCACAATAGCTAAGCGTGATTATCCTCTCGAAAAGACAGAAAAAAATAGC